TTCAAAGTCACACAAAAAAGTACCTATGAATAGAACTTGCTTATAACCAATTGTAATGGAAAATGCAGATGCTTGCAGTGCACCACAGGAGTGGAAATAACATGTAAATTGCTACACCCACTGAGCTGTTAAAATTACTGTGGATTTCTGGCACGGTAGCGCTACTGTTTTCCCAGTGCAAAGAAAAAGCAAACAACAGAACTTCTCCCATGCTTTCTCTTTGGTCCTTCCAAAAATCTCTTCTCTCTACTGCTGACAGAGAGGACAGGACAGATTTGTGCCGGACAGAGAAGATGCAATAAGTAGCACTAATCTGTGACTCATTCGGTGCATCACAATCCACCTCCCCCATCACACTTCCGTCTTTTTCCTCTTTAGCTGCCTGTGTCTCTGTCACTCTTTGTCCTCTACCCTTTCCTTTTTACTCTTGGGACCCGCTGCATTTTCATTAATTCATCGGCGACTCCTACACTCAGGCCCCGGGCCAATACAGCAAGGATGAGACAAGGTGGTTGGTGGTAGAGGGAGGTTGGGTGGATGCAGGAGGAAGGGACAGAAGGAGGGTGGACGGGAGGGAAGGAGGGATGCACAGGCCTCATTAGTGTTTGAAGTGATGGAGGAGAGAGAAGCGGCGCTATGAATAGACATGCTGCTTTCAGAGATAAGCCTGAGCACCCGCAGAGCTCCTGCTGCGGAGTTCAGCTGAACTTTTAGAGTGCAGAAGCCTTGAAACAGAGGGGCTTTTAAGTGGTTAAGACGCTAAAGATGCCTTTTACTCTATTGAAATGCTTTTCAAGGACATCCTGCCTGTGCTGACTGCCCTCCTCCCAGGTGTAGGTCATTGATAACATGGCAGAAGGCTAGTGAATGCAGGAATGTTGCCCAGAAGAGGAGCATTGTTGGGGCGGCTGTGGCTCAGAGGGTAGTAGTCGACTAATCACAGGGGCTGGTGGCTGTGTCCTCAGCTCCTTTTGTCCACATGTGAAGTGTTTTTGGGCAAGACACTGAACCCCAAATTGCCCCCAGTAGTCAGGCCAGAGTGCTGCTATCAGTGTAGCCTTTCACACATAGATCGCACTACAGGGCTGCTGCGAAGTCCCTTTATGTTGCCCCTGCAGCCCATGATCTCGTCCTGCTGGCTGTCCCTTTTACATAGACATTGTTTCAGCAGTGTTACCACTTCCGACTCTGTCCCCAAATTCTGCGATTGTATCTTTAATACAGAACAGCCAGGCAGCATAACAGCGTGAAATTCCAGCCTTGAAGAAGAGTAGCCCTTTATACACAAAGATTGTGCTATAGGGCTGCAACAAAGTCCCTTCCTTACGCTGCCTTTGCATTTTTACACAGCACTAAACAACAGCAGCATCATACCACTCAAGTTCAATTTTAGATAGCATGCCAGCATTGCTGAATCAAAAGAGGCATGATGGCCACAACATGTAACAACAGAGTCGGCCTCTAGTGTGACATTTAACATATGCATCGGCAGCGCTTCATAAACAATAACAATGGCGTAATATGGCAGTTACAGTCATTTACCATGGCAGCTAATCTTGTACCCCCAAAGTGTTAGAAAATCCTCGACCTAATTAGAGGTACCCACACCTTAATTTATTTGTGGCGGTCCTGCCATGATTAAAACATTTGCTGCTACAAATAGGTTTTGAATACTTGGAGCTGGACTGTTCATTCGGAGTGCTGTTGGAATATATACATATAAACGATTAGGTTTTTGTGGCACCGCGTTCTCAGATCGCACTCGTGGAAGAGACGGAGCAGCTACACACTCATTAAACTTCTTGTCATCGGTTCACACCAGACACAAACTGTACCACGGTTCAGTTTAATCTGGACGGAGACCACCTCTTTTCATTGGACCAAGATTCGGCTGTTTGGTCAGGACCAGGATCTGGGAGGTTTCACACCTGTGATTTTGATTTGGATCAAACTGATATGTTAGGACCAAACGTGATAGGTGTGAAAGAGCCTTTAGTTGCAGCTCTTATTTATTTATTTTTTTTTGTGCTGGGCTTTGCACTGCAAGGGCCTGGAAATATTAAATGTGTTTGTGGCTGTTCTTCATCCTTAATACTTTAATTTTACTCTGTATGGTGGTTGTATATCATATTGAAATGAACTGTACTGAACAGGAAACTTGGTGGTGTTGTAGCAGGACTCAGCTCATCCATTTGCACTGGTGAGTCAGGCACGTGGCAGCTTATTGCCTCCATCATCTGTGTGAAATGAGCACAGTTGGTCCGTTTTATATTGAGAAAATGAATTTTGTGATTTTGAGGACATGGTGCAGCACCAGTTGACAGCTGGTTTGGGCAATTCAAATCTCTGTAGGAGGCTCGGTGTCTCATAGTGTAAACAGTGTTGATCACAAGGCTCGTCGCTGGCTGATATGGTTGGTTGAAGAGTTCTTATAAATATCTTGTGGTGCACTGAAAGATGACATGTGTGGTCTTGGGGGGGGGTTAGACTACTGTCTGTTGGATAAAACACACCGTGAGGCAAAGGGAGGCTATTGGACAGCTAGCAATTTTGTCAGCGTCTGGTCAGTGTGCTCTCAGAATGGGGTTTTAGTGCCACATCAGCAAAATTAAATCTGTGTAACAGCAAAGTAAAATGATAAATCATGGAACGTTTTCCTTTGGGACAATAGGAGGAAGGAAACTGATGTGAGTAGGAAGAGAGGCAGGAAGAAAGGCTGTTTCTTTGCAGATTGCTAAGCTTTTGTCTAACACACCCTCTGTCTCTCTTTGAAGCTATCAAACCTTTCATTAAACTTGACTGCACTGCTGACAGCATAATGACCTACTTTGTGTCATTAGCTTTTATAACTCCTAAACATATATATCTATATCCTTGTTTGGTGTAAGCAGAAAGATAACAGTTGTTATGCAGAGCTGCGTGAAGGGTTAAATGATGCATTTGGGGTTTTTAGAGGTTATCTCTTTTTTCTCCTTCGTTCTCCCAGGGTCCCCTTATGACTCACCACTGCTGAATTCCTTCAGCCAATCAAAATCCAGCTCTCTCTTTGCTGCCTGACTTGCCTTTCTCCTAAATGCAAAGTCAGAATAATCACTCTTCAGTGTGTTGCACTTCTCTTCAAGGCTGTCTTGATTGCATCGAGAGAGAAAAAGACTGTGTGTGTGTGTGTGTGTGTGTGTGTGTGTGTGTGTGTGTGTGTGTGTGTGTGTGTCTGAGCTGCTTTGTTGCGACTGTAATTGTCTTTTGACCACATTGTTTCCATATCTGGCTTTCCTCGAACTTCTTTGCACACAATTACCTTCACTTTGCCAAGCCTCTGTTTCCGAGAAGCTCCACAGACATGAACATATCCTCATGTTTTTAATCCTGAACTCAGTTGTTTGAATGATGGCATTATGCCAGCACTGACACTGGTGACTTAAGTTCGATATTTGGCAAATTTGTTATTCTTTCAGGGTATTTGACTATGCAGTTTTGCGGATGCCTGCTGTATTTCTTGCCCTGATACAATGAAAGCTATTGATGGAGGTCTGTCAGTCTGCATTTTCTTTCTGTACTCAGCAGCTCCCCAGGAAATTCCCTGCTTCTCTGTACTTCAGCCAGTCATTTTTACCCGTCACAGCAGGCTCAACAACCTAGCACTTAATTAAATGAATGATGTATATATTTATATTCAAGTGTGCCACTTAAGAGGCTAACAATAATACTGAATAGACTATTGTTCATACTTGGTCGTTAGCGTTCTCATTATTATTTTATTAGCTCCAGCTGTGTTTCCCATGCTGACAAGTCAGTTTGACCGTTGTTACAGCTACACTTGTTAAATGATTTTTCTTTTAATGTTTCTGTTTTATGACTTGCTTCTCATCACTTAATTTTCCACCACGACCTCTGTGGTGTTGTTATTGTAAAGTCACTATTTGTTGCCATAGAAATAGGCTACTATATATTACTGATAAGTATGAATTAACGGGAAATTGCGGGAAAAATCCAGGAAGTAAACAAAACGTTGAAGAAGAGTATACTTGCAAGATAAATGTGACACTTTCTAATGTCACAATGGAGGGACAACTACGCAGGTTGATTTTAGCGCTGGTCATCGTGGACTATATTGCTGTCATTGTTCATTTTAGTCAAACCATACAGTTTGAAAACGAGGCGCGGCTCCAACTAGAAAACAATGTTTTGATGCATTGGATGTGCTGAATGTGCATATTAAGGCAGTACAGGAGGAGGTGCACATTAATAATCCTCCAGGACTGTAACATGCTCATGTTTAACCCAAACTATGTGTCATGTGACTGGTTCAGATTGAGGTTCTCACTACAAACGAACCCCACCAGAAATTTGTAACCAGACCAAGACCACCTCTTCAAGAAGGTCTCAGTCTGGTTGTTGTGGTGTGCACCTGAGTGTGATTGCTGTGTTCAAACCTGCCCAAACGAACTGCACTGAAAGGGCAAACACACTTGAGTTTGATTAAAGCAAACCAAACAGGGCACGTCTGAAAGTCTGGGTCCGCAACTGCCTGTACCAGGGAGCAGCTAGAAAGCGAGGAGCGCTCACTCTGCAGCAAAATCTGGGGACAGACACGTCTCCAGAAGTACGCCGAACATTGACTGCCAAAAAAGACTGCTCAACTTGAACAACTTGAACAAATCTCTGTTGACTCTGGGGTCTTCGACTGATGATTTGAATCTTCCACTCTCAGGTGGCAGCCCCAGTGTCATTAACCGCCTACACCTACAGTATGCAGTGTCTCTAACCTTGTCTCTGTAACAAGTGGCTGATTATAGACGTACCTTATTACTTTGGCACTGTGTTCCTTCACGCACACAGTCTTGCACTGAACAGACAAATGGTGCTACAACAGAGAAGGGACGAGAAATGAAAATGTGTTTACTTGTTTTTCTTTCTCTTTGTTTTTATTGCATTTCTGCCAGTCTAACTGACCATCTCTCTGTTTCTCTTTCCTCCTCCCCATCTCTTGTCTTCCTCAGGGGTTTGTGGTTGTTGCGGGGCGCTCAGGCCTCGGTACAAGAGACTGGTAGACAACATCTTCCCAGAAGACCCAGAGGTGAGAGGCTCAAGTGAATTTGTGTTTCTTTAGTATTGCCTTTCCGAACGCAAACAGATATGTTTTTTCTCTGAAGGTGGTAACTGTTCCTCTGTCTTCTGTATGATCATGTATAGAGATTATATAGTTCACTGTCTTTGTAAAGATTAGTTTAGCTTACAAGGTTATTAAGTTTAATTTAAACAAGGAGAGTGCACAACAGAACAAATCTTTAAAATATGTGAGAAGAAAATGTGATAAATAATGCGCTACACCGGATTTAATTGGAGGCTTTCTGTATGTAGTCGCTGGCACGTAAACACCGCACAGCCTCCGTACCTAACTATCTTCTTCAAAGGTGTTGTAACCATCCCACAGACCTCGCCTTTGCTGCTGTTTGAAATCTGATACAGATGAGTCATAAAGAGAATTAATTTGGGTGGAGAAGAAGGAGTTGTTTGTTGCAGAGGAAACTTTTCACAAGAGCCTCTTTGCTACTGCAGTAACCCACTTTTACCGTTCTGATCTGTGGCCAACACTGACGTACAGGACACGATGGTACAAGCAAAACTCAGTACCCTTTTTTGTGCGTGTGTGTTTGCGCACCTGCTCATTGTGCTCCAAAAAATGGTTTCTAAGTTTGGCTCTAAGCTGCCGTGGCTGAGACTGTAAGTACCGGTATCCCAGCAGCTTGGGAATAATGAAGCCGTCTGATAACATTTACTCAAAAATTGTGTCACACTGTGCGAACGTGTGGGTGTGTTTGTACAGTACTTCTCACAGATAATTGGTGGTAAGGTCGGTGCTTAAATATAGGTTGTATTTCCTGCATGTGTCTCCTGCACACACAAAATGTCCCCCACAGAAGTGTGCTTAACTAGTTTCAGTTGGATTGGATATGATTGTAGTTTATCACTCAGAAGAGAGGATAATTTACTCTGTTAAAACCCGACAGAAACCTGCACTGTTTGTCCAAATCAGTCAACTGGAGGGTTTTGTTTTAAAGCCAGCTGCAGTATTCTGGCTGTGTGATCGGTTATGGATCCCAGCCACAGGATGTTTTGGAGGAGCAAAAAGATGCAGAGCTATTGCGCTGTGCTGACCTCTAAAATAACCTCCTGATGAGGGGATTAAATCCTTTTTCACAGCATACATTTTGACTTGAAAAGCACAGGTGCAACTAAAGGCCCTGACACACCAAGCCGACGGTTGGCCGTCGGTCAAAGTCGGGCCGTCGGTGAGCGTCTGTCACCCTAGTTTTTGTGGTGTGTCCCGCACTGTTGGCACTTCGGCGTCTGCATCAGTGGCTTTACGGCCGATTGAGCATGTTGAATCGGCGGCGGAGCTTGTCGGTGAGAGAGATCACTCTGATTGGCTGTTCAGGTTTTATTTCCTCGCCCCTGTAGCGAATGAATCTGCCTGTAGTGAAACCGGGGCTAACCAGTGCTTCCTCCTCAGGCTCCACTGCACTCAGCTGCCTGACAGATCTGCTGCTTCTTCCTGCTTTAACCTGAATAGCCACAGCATGACCTGAGGGAAGCACAGCCAGTTAGCCTCTGCTAGCCCCCCAGCTAGCCCCGGCTCTCCGTTTGGATCCACCCAGAGCACTGAGCCCCGGTTTGTTTTTCAGGTTAAAGTGGGAAGAAGCAGCAGGTTTGTCGGGCAGTTGAGTGAAGTGGAGCCTGCGGAGGAAACACCGGGACCGTCTGGATGTAATAGTCTGGAGGTGCTGCGGTGCTCGGCTGCACAGATAGGAAACCCCTTGGCTGACAGGATATACCACTCTCACTCTGCTACTTTGTTTATCTCATGCATTCCTCGGACTTCCGATTTCCCTTTTTGCGTTATTTCCTCTCACGCAGGCGCAAAACGTACATGCTACTTGGCCGTCGGATATAGTCTTTGTAGTGTGTTCAAATGCAACTGACACGGGACGTGAGGCGACGTAGACGATGCAACAGTTGGCTTTCGTCGCTGCTAGTTTTTTGATGTCGCTTTGGTGTGTCAGCACCTTAAGAACATTAAAGGTCCAGCGTGTAGGATTTTTGGGGGATATATTTGCAGAAGTGGAATTTAGTATGATATAATAAGTGTGTTTTCTTTAGTGTACAATCACCTGAAAATAATAATGGTTGTGCTTTTGTTACCTTAGACTAAGTCGGTTATAGGTTTTGGCCATGTTGCAATGCCATGTGTCTACAGTAGCTCAGATTGGACAAACCAAACACTGGCTCTAGATAGGGTCATTAGTGTTGATGACAGTAGCTAGAAAAACATTTGTTGTAGAGAGGAAGAGACCTCTGTGGATAATTTGTCTCCCTTTAAAAACCTCCTGAACAGTGAACACTGAAGGGATTCAAACCTGGAGATGCTTCAGCTGGTTGCAGTCTGCAGTCCTTACTGCTAGATGCCACTAAATCCCCATAAATCCTGCACAGTGCTCCTTTAATGAGGTCCCTATTTCACATAGCAGTGGCAGGGGGCTATGCCAATTAGCCGGCATGCACCATAAGAAGGTCCTGGAACTGTCCAATCTTAAATAATGTCACAGACCCGCAAAAACCTCCACCCCTGACGACCACGGCCACACATGGATTCTAATTCTCTGGGAAACACTATGTCAAGAGTAGAAAAAGCACAGGTGGAAATGATTTCCAGTGTGTTTGAGTTTCAGAGTCCTGGCGTCGTGCCTGCCGCTCACTGTCACACGGTCATGATGACTTACTGGAACACTTGAATAGATAAGAGCCATTAAGAATGTTATTGCTCACATATTCCTGTGTGTGTGTGTGTGTGTGTGTGTGTGTGTGTGTGTGTGTGTGTGACTGTTTGTGTCCAATGTTTCACAAATGGAAAAAACGGGGATTTTTTTATGGGCATTTTTGTAAATGATGAATGATGTTCTGCCCATACATCCCAGTTAGTATTTTTAGAGTCACTTTGCTTCGCAGAGTTATGTACAGGAAACTTGGAGTGTATAACGCCAACAAATTCTGCCAGCCCTTTTGTCAGCCCATTATATTACACACCTATCAAAACAGTTTACAGAGAGTTTACACCAGACTGTCTGTTCTTTTTGAAGGTGCCATTTCATTGACTTCATGTTTTGGCTCTTGCCTGAATGTAAACGGGGTCTCAGTGGACTATAGATGTTTTTAGCTCTCTCCTCCCCCTGACCAGACTGAAGAGCAGGGAAGTAGGTCGAAGGGGGAAGTAGAAGGTGAAACTAAGTGAACTAGTTATACTTTTACAATTTAGGTTATGAGGAGAAGTCCACACTTAAGCACACCCAATATTGCATTAGCTCGGAATGTTTATGAAATGGAGAGCATTTTTTTCCCAGTGAAAGCAAACACAGCCCTTTTTCGTCTTTACCAGCTGCCTCTTTGTTGAGTGGACAAAACCAGCCTAATGCACATCTCCTCTGACCTGAGAGTGATTGAATTTTCATTTTGGGTGCACCACTCCATTAGGATTCTAAACCATGTAAATGAGATCCTAAAATTGTTTATCCACTTTCTTTCTATCTCCCTCTGTCTCCCAGGATGGGCTGGTGAAAGCCAACATGGAGAAGCTGACATTCTACGCCCTGTCAGCTCCGGAAAAGCTCGACCGTATCGGAGCCTACCTGTCTGAGAGATTGTCAAGGGATGTGGCCCGACACAGATACGGGTGAGCATCGCCAGTCAATCGCCATTCAGGACAGTCTCTTAAGAACATTTCAGCTGTCACTGCTTTGACAAGTACTGTTTGCACATTTTGTGTGTCATTTATTCTCTGCCACACATAACTGATTTAAATCAGGGCTGGGTGAGAAAACAAACTCAATAGGGGATCACAATAAAATGATACGTTTTGGACATTTTTAACTGTATGGATTGACCTAACAGCCACTTACACAGCAGAAATAAATGCGTCAACAGCCTGTCAGTCAGCTGCCTCTCCTCTCGGCGTCTGCTCTGTATCCATGCCTGTTTGCAGGAGGGCGGACTACGCTCCACACAGAGTGGAGGGCAGAGTAACATAGCCCACAGTGTAGGGAATTAAGGATATATTTTACCAGAGTCACTGACAACAATGCTCATTATTCGCAAGTGCGACAAAAGAAAGATAATTTGATCAGTTTATCAAACACCTGTTGAACAAGCAGAATACAGACGTGCAGAAATGTGACGTCCTAAGTCATTCCATACCTGTTTTTTTTTTACACAGCCACAGAACTTGTTGACACTAAAGTGCTAAAAGTGAGCTCACGTTATTTTCCAAAGCTGAGGAAATTGTTGACAAAAAAGGTATTAGTTTGGACATCTCAATCAATGCGGCAAATCTTTTCCATCACTTGAAAACATACCATCTCAGCAACCACACCCTTATTTTAATATGTTATAAAGCAGGCTAACGATTGTTTTTTTAAGACAGATAAAGAATGTTTGCACAGTTAAATGTTTGTTATTCTCTTTCATATGTTACTATCTATATTCTAAAGTTTACTTAATGAAACTTTGGTTTCTCCAGGCTTCATTCATTATCGGGATACTCTTCAAACTGGCAGTATTATCAAATTATGTAGCGTGATAGATATAAATGTCAATCGATATGGAAAAAGCCCTAATTTAAATTCAACACAGTTGAAGCTAATACATTAAATTCTGGAAAGAATTTGAGGTTGTCTTGGTATGAAGTAATTGAAAAGTGGTGCGCAGAACAGCCTTTCATCACAGAGAGTTACGCTGACAGTCCATCAAAGAGCTTAAGATGCTTTAAAGATCTCCGTTTACAGGCCTGTCTGAAATGATACATCTCACATGCAAACTGGATGAGGAACTGTAGAATTGTGCCATTGCATTCAAACCACACGTGTTCTTCACACTTTTCTGTTTGTGTCATATGAAATTAGTTATTGCATTGCATTGCACACGAAGTAGCCAAGTAGAGGGGGAGGCAAGTTGGTCTGTTTTTACTTTTCTATTTAACAAAAACAACGTGGCTGGTGTAAGGTCATCCACAGTAAAGTTTCTGTACACTGTGTGCTTTCTTTATACGCCACAGAAGTTGTCTTTTATGACTCATAACTAGGATGCACTGTGACTAATCTCGCAAATGCAAACAGCCTGTACAGATTACATTTGCACTTGGCAGAGTCCGGCTGAAATCTGTTCAGTATGCGAGTCCCCAGAGTTCGTCTGGCGGAGCTTATCACATTTTTATTTCTGTTGCTTTGTGCAGTTAGACTTTTGGGGAAAAAATGCACATATTTAATGATCCATGTACGATATCCACACACAGATTTGATTGCCTGCAGGGTTAATGGTGTCATCCAGATGTTACCGTGTCTCTTTCCCCTCCTCCTCAGGTATGTGTGCATAGCCATGGAAGCCCTGGACCAGCTGCTGATGGCGTGCCACTGTCAGAGCATCAACCTGTTTGTGGAGAGTTTTCTCAAGATGGTGCGGAAGCTGTTGGAGTCAGACAAACCCAGTCTGCAGATCCTAGGAACCAACTCTGTGAGTTTTCAGTATTATATTACTTTAAAGAGTCCGTCAGATGTTTTACAGTTTTGCTGTTATGAAACAAATTAACAAAGAAAACCCTGAACATTAATATAACGGCAATAACCGCTTTGTTCCTCCTTTATCATAAGCAGTTTGCCATTGGTTTAGCTTCAGGGATGTTCATAAAAATCCCTCAATATGTCTAATGTCACATGAAAAACCTTTGTTATATTACTGATGTACAATCAATTGCTGCACTCCATGACCATTGCAATGTCACTAGTATTATGTGATACACACAGACCAGACCAGCATCACGTCAAGGCCAGGAAAGAAACGTGCTGTCACATCAGAGGAGAAACAGAAAATGCTGGAAAGCTGTTGTGTAGTGTGTTAACCGAGGCCTTCACACTGAGATTTTAGGCACATAAAATTTGTGACTGTTCACTGTCAAAGGGGTAAATCTCTAAATAATGCTGGTGACAGCTACTACTGATGGATAACTAACATTAGCTTGAGTGGGAGGCTGCAGCAGTACAGTCATACAGTATAGCAGCATCGGACTGTCGTCTCCAAGTAAATCTAAGCCTGTAGTTCAAACAGTTGCCTGGTAAGTCAATCGAATATGCCTGTTTGATTGAATCACCAGGTATGATATGGACATCTATACATGTGTAGATGTGTGGATAAGTTATATTCGGCCACTTTCTTGGGCATTGATACACCAGGAGGGAGGTAGCCTGAGGGAACATGATGGCAATCAGTCTTCATTTATTAAAACAACATGAATGCTCAGATTCAGGCAAGGTCGCAGAATAATTATCAGACATGTCGATGAAACAAACATTTGTTTAACAAAAAAATAAATGCACATGAACTTGTCAAAACTGTGTTCCAAACATATGCCAGATTGCACTGACATCTATTTCACCTTCAGTTTTCAGTCCCCCAAAAAGGTGCATGGCCATGACGTTCTGTGAAGTAACCGTATGTGCCGCTCTGATCTATTGACAATGAATACCTTCGCATTCACACTGGCGCTATTTGGTCCGCTTTAAACGAACCCTGGTCCGCTTCCACGGAAAGTTCAGTTCGTTTGTAGTGGTGTGAATGCTCATTCGAACTCTGGTGCGGACGAAACGAGCGAAACCTGGTCTGCTCGAAAACTGGGGTTCTCGGTTCACTTGCAAGTGAACCCTGGTGTGGTTCGCATACAGTGGGAAAAACAAACGAACCAAAGAGAGGAAGTGAAGTAGAGCGCAGTGCATTTTGGGTAGAAAAAAACAAAGCCAACAGCGCAAACCAGGAGAAGCAGAGGTAAAAAAAAAAAAAAGTTGGAAAATGGCTCGTGGGCAGACGTGGAGTAGTGAGGAGGTGCAGGCGCGTACTCCAAAACTGCATAAGTTTGGTGTTGCTCCATTGTTTTAGTGGTGACCAAGCCATTTGAAGGGTATGGATTTCAGTTTTCGGTCCTGGCCAATCGATGAGCCGGGTTTTCTTCTTCCCCATGCTTGTTTTCTTCCTGGACAGTGGTCGTTTTAGGCAATACCGCCCCCAAACGAGCAGCTGTTGTTACTGCGTGACGTTGTTCAGGGGGTTTGGTCCGCTTTAAAAAGTGCAGTGTGAAAGTGAACCGAACTAAATGAAGGTGTGAAATTTTTTGGCATTCCCCGCCCAATCGAATGGAGTCCCCCATACTATCCTGGTGTGAATGCACCCTACATGTAGATAGTTTCCAGCAGGAATGTCTAATGAGCAAGTAATGTTAGCAAGTGCTAGCAGTTTGCTTTTCCACAAATGTCAAGGAAGTGCATGTGTAATAATGTATGGCTGTATCACTATATAGGCCTATCCATTTTAAATAATTTGACGTCATGGAAATTGGGTAAAGTTTTGAAAACTCATTGGTAAAAATGTGCGGGAACTCTGTAGCTAGGACCAAATTGCATTGTGGAAGAATATCAATCATTATTTTGAAATGCAAATAAAATGCAGTAGACGTTTTTGTTCAACTCAACTCAACTCAACTCAAATTCATTTACAAGGCACATTTAAAAATGACTCACGTTGACCAAAGGACTCTGGTATCTACAAACTTACATTACCATGACAACTGAAAACTGCAGTAAAAGTTGTGGTAAACATTAAGGACATTAAGCGATTTATTTAACTTAACTTTTAAAAGTTTAAAAGTCAGGAGGGAGTAACTTTGCCTAACTTGATGTCTGCATTATTAACTTCAGGTAGTTTTCAAATGATTTATAGTTCTCCTTTTCAAGAACCATAAAAAACCTAAGACAGCTTGTTTCACTGATACAAATTTAGACAAATGCCCCCATCCTCAGACTGTTGGTCACTAATGTGTCTAATGTGCCTCAGTTCCTAAGATTTTCTGTCCATCATATTCTGCCCATTTCAGTGGATTTAGGGGTATTATCTAATCAAAAGTTGACAGGGTGCATTCACTTTCCTGATGTGATGGCACAAAGTACAAGATGTTAACCTTGAGAGGAGCACTGCGTCAGTTTATGAGGAAGATCAGGGCTCGGTAAGAGAGTGGTGGGCAGAGGGGGGGTGGGAGTGATGAGTTTCCTCTGATGTGGGAAGCCGCTATCAGCGCTGTCAGCTGGGTCAGCATAGGACACATAAAGGAAATCAGATTAGCTGCAGACCATACTGGCAAAGCTCCGCAGTCATCTACACAGATTGAAAAGGCACGCCAGCCTCTCACTCATACTGTGTATGTAGTCAGTCTCCCTTGCACACACTCATGGGTGTGTGTTCAAGACAAATGCAAGGCCATACACTGATCCATTCATACACACACACACACACACATCGGTGTTGTGTAATTAATTGTGCATCACGGTGCTGTTTACCACGATCAATAGAGGAATTCTGCAGCATGTGCTGATTTAAAGCTTTGCATCCAGTGCCTGTTGTTGAACATTGTGGAGATATTGATTAGGGTTAGTTTTGCTGTAATTGTCCAGCCCATACATGCACAACACTAAACCTCCTCACACTGTGCAAACAAATGCTGTAGCTGTAGTAGGTCTGGGTATCATATACAAATTTACAATACCAGTGCCAAGACCAGTACTCTTAAAGTGACACAGACTTCACCACACCACAAACTGTATGGGATGTAGCTGCTGCTGCTGGGGAGTGTGAGCCCCACGCCAGGGACAGTTGGTGAGAGTCCACCTGGCTGCATGCACACAGAGACAGGGCTAACTGTTAGCATCACATAGCTAACAATACCTGATATTGTTTACAGGTTTAACAACAGTTTTAAGCTGTTTTGGTGTTGGAGTGAGTTTGTTGGGACCCTTAAATGGCTCTGTGTTGGATGTTAACTTGTGTTGATTGGGCAGACATTGAATCGACTGTTTACTCTGGTAACAGCAGTAACAGAAAGTTTACTAATGAGGCAGGGAGTCAGGGTGGTCCGGGATCAGACCGCTGACACAAAAAGGATCAAATGCAAATGTGGTTTGACTGGAGAAGTTTCGATGCTAGGTGGTAATGGGTAGGGGTGGGCAATAAAACGACTATGTATGATTATCGATATATTTTTAAGCAAGATATACATTTAGACAACACCGTTTCTATCGATATAGGGTCAAGTTGTATTACATGACGTATATCTTCTCTCACATTCTCTGCACAGCTTCGCCTCACTCACTCACTCACTCACTCACTCACTCACACTCACTCTCTGCTATTTGCCAGGTTAATTTATACAATGTAAAATACCATAGGCCTGTGCTAATAACATTAGCATGTTGTATTTGTTTGGAAAACGTGTTTAGTATAAGACAGTTGTTTTGTCAGTGAACCCTGTGAGTTGTAATGGAGACGAACTTTGTAATGTTACCTTTGTTGTTGTTGTTCCTGGCTTCATATGAGTAGAGGAAAAGTCTGCTAGCTGCTAGGCTAATTTATACAATGTAAAATGCCATAGGCTTGTGCTAAAAACATTAGCATGTTGTTTTTGTGGGGAAAATGTGTCCAGATAAAGACGAGTGTTTGTCTGTGAATGCTGCGAGTTAGGGATGTCCTGATCCGATATTTGGATTGGTATTGGCCGCCGATACTAGCAAAAAACGGCCATCGGCATCGGATCGGACTGCATGGAAAAATGCTGATCCAGGAACTCCGATCCAGTTTTTCACGGAATCCGCTCCAGGTTTTCCGGCCAGCCCAGCGCTCCGCAAATCAAGCAGTCCATTCCAATGATCCACTCCAGCACTTAAAATCAATCCACCAGGCCAGCATGCAGATGGCAGACACACACATGGAGGGTAGGAGGAATAGTGGTCAATTTAGTTAACTGACTATTTGTTTTCTGCTCTGGTTTTTTGAGAGTGATATTTTTATTTGGTTTACACTCTTACTGTTTAAGTAAAGAGTTGCAGTGCACTGATGGCACTGTTTTGGGCACAATTAGTGAAATTGGAGCCATGGATGGACTATTGCTTGTTTAAACAGTTGTACAATATTGTGTGTGTTTTTTTGTCCCCTCTGTTGGTCCCAGGAAACAGCAGCACCAGGCTTGCACTGACACTACTAAAATAACTGAAAAGGAAAGGCTGCATTGTTTGTTAAATGCCAACAATGTCTTGTGGTGTTAATCTTTTTTTTATTTATTAGGGGAGCAAAGCACAAGTGTGTGGAGTCTTGCTGCTATTTTAATTTCATTGTTAGACATTTTAAAGATTTCTTGTGTTGATCTATTTTCTATTTATTAAGGGGCCAAAGCAGCCAAAGCAGACCAGCTATATTTTTTATTTAATGTTAATGTTCAAATTTAAAGTTTGTTTATTTAACACTGTAAACAATAAACAGGTCAGTTTCTCATACCAACTGTTGTGGATCATTCTAACTAACCAGATAAAGTAGTTGTTCTTGTTAGAGTAATATTGCTTGATCAAACCTTTTCTAACATGACTGACAACAAAATAAGTGAATATGTATAATACGCGCTTGGATCGGATTGGTATCGGTATCAGCCAAAACTCAAGGCTGTAATATCGGTATCAGATCGGAAGTGAAAAAGCTGGATCGGGACATCCCTACTGCGAGTTATAGTGAAGCTGATTTGTGTACTTGTGTTTGAAATTGTTGCTATTAAGCCATGTTTAATGTGTGTTTAATGTGTGTTTTAGGAGTGTTTTGAATCAACTTAACTTAACAGCACTTCACAGAAACCCTGCCGCCAACTAGTGTTTTGGAGGTGTAACTGTTGTGCAGCTTCATATTTTCAAACGGGAGTAAAGTCCTTGTCTTTGCATCCTATTTTGATCACAGTCTGTTTTTATAAAACTGCTTGTGACATCTCAAATGTGGCTTTGACTTGCAACTGAAAACATGCCGCCCATTTCGTAGAAAATACCTAGATATATATAGTGTATCGCCAGTCAGCTCGAAATAACGAGATATGAATTTTTGTCCATATTACCCAGCCCTAGTTTCTGGGTTATTTCGGTGGATGCCTTGAAGGTATCAAGTAACATACCCAGCCCGAAGCTGTAACATCTTTCTTACTTAGTGTGCAGTGTATGGCTCATCTGAAGCAGACCAGTATCAGAGAGAGGTGAAAGGAGCGGATTAGAGAGTTTATCACCACAGGCCTTAAGCTCGGCCAGGTTTTCTCACACTCTGTCTCACTGACCTAAAACCTTGTACTGCAGAGCCCTTTCTAACACAAGCCAACTCCTCAACACATCACTGCCTGAGTTAGTGTTTCTGTCAGCTTGCTTTATGTGATGTGATAGAGAAGACTTAAGGCAGGGGTAGGTTTCTCTGTGTGTAGCCTCTGGTTGTTTTAGAACCTTTTCTCAAAGCTCTCGGTCAGATGGAGAGCCAGTTTCAGCAGACACGGGGTTGATACATTGATACCTGGGAGCTGCCTGTTATTACTGCTGGTAATATTGAGCAGCTTCCGGGCGTCAACTGCTGCAGCAATTTACTGCAGCAGCTGAGCAGTTGCACAGAAGTGGTTATGGGTTCACTTCATTTAATTTGCTCAAGGGTACTTCATTTAATTTAAAGAGCCACTCCAAACACTCTTTTTGTGCTCAGGAAATAGATTCATGAGGGGCTTCTTTAGATGTTCATTTTCCACATGTACTCTTTTTATCACTGTAATTTTGAACTGGGAGTTAATGTACTTTAATTACAATCTGCTGTGCTGGTAATATGTTACATAATTCTTGCTTCAGGTAGCATCCGTTCTGTCTGGGTTCTAAAGGAATCCAGTTCATAATTTATTAATTGGAGAGTGTTGTGAAGCTAAATGTCAGCATGTTTAAATGGTGACATTTTCTAGCCCAGTGGGAGAGCCCCCCTCTGCCCTGTGCTTTTCACTCTTAATGAGATGTTATGGCGCCACGGTTTGACTTTAATTTAGGAGATATTCATCGTGGGGATTTTGGCTTATTTCATTAAAGAGTTTTTAATCAAATTGAAATAAACTCTTAGAGCTTTTTAAGGAGCAGACTTATTATGGTGAATCAGTTTGAGTTTGACATGACATTTTATTTTATTTTCTCCCCTGTCTCTTCTTCACTTGTCAGTTTGTCAAGTTTGCCAACATAGAAGAGGACACACCATCGTACCATCGCAGCTATGACTTCTTTGTGTCCCGCTTCAGTGAGATGTGCCACTCTAGTTACGAGGACCCTGACATCCGCACCAAGTGAGTGGACAGATGCTTGATTGCGCTAGAGGCAGAATGATTAAATAACTGCTGTTTTTAGACTGCTGCAGGAAGTCTTTTTTTGGATTACCGCTGCTGCCCCAGACATTTTTTGAACCTTTGTTAAAAAAAAAAAAAAAAAAAAAAGAAATCCTTTGTAAGTAATTTGTCCTCTGCTGAAAATAGACAGAGTGACATCTTTGAACAGTTAAATATAGCTTTGCAGAATTAAAGGGTAACAGCCAAACAAAAAAATAAGACAAAAATAAGATTTCCTAAATATAATCTTCCATTTATAGATTCAAGTACCAGTCAAACAATGTCTGATATCTGATCTTCTATTTCTGTTTCCTCAAGGATCCGCATGGCAGGTATCAAGGGCCTGCAGGGTGTGGTGAGAAAGACTGTAAATGATGAGCTGCAGGCCAACATCTGGGACCCTCAGCACATGGACAAGATTGTCCCCTCTCTGCTTTTCAACCTGCAGAGTGGAGAGCGCACAGAGAGGTGAGTGGTTAACAGGCAAAAATCGTCAAGTGATTGGATTTTGTATGTTGCGGTTTACAGGACCTATCACAAATATTTTATCTTTTTATTTCTGTATTTACAAGTATTTAATGCAAAATCCTAGTGTTTTTTAACCTACGTCCAATCCAGTTATATTTAGATAATTCAGGCATAATGCCACTTGTCCCAATCCCACTGATTTTTGAGATTACTTTGTCATTTGTCTGCATTATTTTTTCCCAACTCATGATTTCTTTTATATGGCTGATACAATCATATTTAATGTGATAATGTGGATTATGTAGTTAATGGCTGGAAGATTTTACTGACTAAAACACTGAACTGACCCTTCACTAAGCCGCTCCCTTGAACAGCCACTGTCCAATCCATCGTTAGAGACTGCAACAAGGCTCAGGAGGCCTGTCAAGCTTTCATCCTGAAATAGTACGCATATGGAACCTGTAAGTCTGACAGGAGATATCCTCAAGGTTTAGAGGGCATTTTTGTAGTTTTTGCTTTTCGGAAGCTGAAAACACAAGAGGAGAAATGTCTGATACAGACCTTTCTCATAGCTGAATCCATCAAAGATCAATAAAAAACTCCTTTGTTTGCGCCAAGATAAAATGCTAACTAACATTAGCTAGCTTAGCATGTTAGCAAATAAATACGGTTAAATATTAATTATATATTAGTTAGGTATGTTTTAAGTTAGGTAGCTGTTGGCTGTATACACTTTGAAGACATAATGTGTAACTTTTCGGGATTTAAATGTCTAAAAATAACTAGACAATGTTATATATTTTGCTGAGTGTGCATGTGTGTATTTACATTTGACAAAATGTTTCTAACAATATTACAACCCCGAAAAATCTCTGATTTTAATCAAGGATACAATCTGTGTAATTTCATCACTGTTGCAGTCACTTTTGCCTGTCAGTTGCGCCATATCCCCTTTGTGCACGATTCAGACTTGTCGTCTGCCAGAATCGTTCATAAATTGACTTTTTATCCAGTTTTAAGCCACATTTTTACAATACACTTTTTATATCTTGGTTGTTTATAACTGTATGTTTTAACCAGATGAAGGATTTTAGTCACTGGATTTTAAGCTATCAGAGAAATAAGCTGAGCAAACATTAGCAGCTACTCTGCTCCAGCCCCTGCCGTGCCAAACAGCGTTGGAAGAACACTGATTATTTATGAGGAACAGCTTTACTCAGTGTTTTCAGTGGTTTAAATCACCAGGTCCGTTTGCTTTGGAGAGAAAGAGGCCCCTGTGGACAATTGGGCTCCCAGTAAAAACTTCCTGAATAATGAACAATGAAGGAATTTGGACCGGGAGAACCTGACTGTAATGACAGCATTGTTCTGTCTTTGGTTATTGTTTTGATTGACAAACCTCTATCTGTGGAAAAATACATATTGTACATTTAAAAAAAATGGAAAAGTGGGATAATTTTATTTTGCAAGCAATGGGTAAGAGCATATATTAGATAATGAAAGGCACACGGAGTCATTACTAAACGTTAGCTTAAAATAAAACATAACATTGACTCACCCTGCGGTGCAAGAACATTTTTGTTCCTGTATATGTTTTTCTTTCATGTGAATTTTCAAGACGTCGGTCGCTTATATTTGGACTGGTGAGCTTTCCCTCGATTGTAAAGTCCTCTCCATTCACATTCACATCCAGACATTTGCTATTATAAACCTCAGAGTATCTCCTACTAAAAATGCCACATTGACATGCTGGGTGAGAAAGCTTGACAGGTTCAACAACAGTAACTGCAGGGGTGAGATAAAGGGAAGGGTCGATTGCTTTCAGTAAAAGCAAGAAAAATAAAGTGCTCACACACACACTGCCCTGACTGCAGTTTAAGGCAGGTAAATATGGCCCTGGTGTTACCATGTCATCCTCACACAGCAGTCCAGGCAGTGCCAACATGTGGTGACAAAGTTAATGACCCAAAATAAGTCAGTGTTGACCTGCTGTGGCTCTGTCACACAGCAGAGCCATTCTGTTGTAGCCCACTGGTGTTGTTTGTCTTACGCTGGGCCATATTTGTCCTGGCAGTCTGGTCCGCTATCACCCATGTCATTCATCATCATTGTCATCACTGACTGAGCCCACTGACAGCTCTGCCACCCTGATGGGCATCTGTTTGCCCACCTGCAGCAGTCAAGGACAAAGATACCAAGAGATGGGCAGAAATAGTAAAAGAAAAGTAGGAAAGAGTATGAAAAGGGGGGAAATGAGCAGGAATAGTGCAATGGGTGGTGAAAAAAAACATCACAATTGCATTGAGAGCAAGTAAGAGAGAGATGTGGAGTCTGGAGCCTCCCTCTTTTGGCAGTATTCCACATACTGAAATTCACTTTGACGTCAGTGCCGAGATCTGAAGGTTAGGGCAGCGGAGGGGGAGGGCAGCGAGAAGAACACTGGAAGATTGGTTGGAGGGAAGATAATGTGAAAGTAGTGTGATGGAAATGTGGAGGTTATTGAAAGAGAGAGAGACAGATGGACAAACAGAGACAGAGACAGACACACTCCAACAGAGAGTCACATTTCCCTCTCAGCTTCCCTTTGCTGTGTGTGTGTGATGAAGCCTGCCCCTGCTGTGCGTTCTCAGTTATTACCAGCAATAAAATCCACAGCAGTCAGTACAGTCTAATTAAACTCACAGATGGTGCATTTTTCTCTACATTAATCCCCGTGCACATGTACAAGTTCATTTAAAGATCAACCTTGGGCTCAGTTTTAGCGAAGCCTTCTGACAGTCAAGACTAATGTCTGTGAAGAGTTTATTTCTGCAGATAGTACAATCTTTCTCTGAGCCCTGTTTTGTGTGTTCGCTTGTGTTTTGTTATACTTCAAGAACAACTAGCATTATTGATTGGTTTTCATGTGGTGTGTAGGTGCCTGCAAAGGCTTTATATTCCCCAATCAATTTTCCTCTAGGCATTGCCTCAGCAGAAAATTTTAACAGAAATGGTCCTGGCTCTTTAAAGACTCAGAAACAGCCTCTGTGAATTGTTTGATAAAAGCAGATGTGAGGTCAGATTGCTGTAGCCAAGCCGGCCTTGAGATGATGATGAGGATTTCTTTTAATCCTATACTTTCGCTTGTGAGTTTCCAAACCATTAGACAAAACTGCAGTGAGATGCTGTTGAAAGAAGAGTCCGGTGGGTGTTTTAGATGCACTTTTTAATTGGATATAGGTCAGTGAAAGTGGTTTTGTAAGCATTATTGAGTTACTGCTGAACAAATGCTAAATCTTTCGGCAATAGCAGCACAGAACTCACCTGAGTTTTCCACATTTGCAGCAATAAAATGGCTTCATTTAAAGTTCCCCTCCAGACATGATTTAACGTATGTAGAAATTAGAGATGTAACCAAATCCGATCACAATATCTGGGAAACCTCAGCCATTTGTTTGTTCAAATTGATTCATATGATTATGGATGACCACAAGATAAAAATGCCCATGACTCTGATTTTACTAATCGTCATTTCATTTATGTTACGTTTTTGAAAAGTGATCAGTATTCTGTAGTCACCCCAACACAGCAGGGAGCATGCTGTGAGCTGACCAATAGTGATGTGCGAGTCAGGGTTTTTTATAAGTGACAGTTTAAGGGGCAGCTTTATGCATTATAGTGACAAAATTGTCATGACTGAGGGCTGAGACAAGGACAGAGACAGGACTGTGCTGCGGCGCTCTGCAAAGTGTGTCCCTTTGAAAGAGCAAGCAACATGGGGGGAGAGGGGTGGGAGGTGGAAGGTGGACTATTGCATGTTGTTTTTTGTAAATTAGTAATAACTAGCTTTGTCAAACAGAATCTTTCGATTTCTCTAACTTATTTTTCAGTTTCTGATTCATCAGTGCTCCCCAGTCAAAGGGGTGGTGGTGGAGTTTCAGACAGTTTGTAAAAAAATATAGCTAAATTGATATACAGAGAGAGAGAGGGAGAGACGTCATCGGTTTGATGCTTTAAAAGCACAACAGTTGTATTGCCAATGAATGATAGGTTAGGACAATCAATATTTGCCCAAGTTAATGTGACTTCCTGTAATTACCCCGTTCATTTCCTGTTTTCTATCTGAACACAGATACATAGACAGATAATTTTGTTGGTCGAACAGATACAGATAATGACGTCTGGGTACACCTTTAGTAAAATTACACTGATGTAAAAGAGCAGTGTGCATCAAGATGGCTAGCCTTTGCGTTAAAGGAAACATCAGGGAGATTCAGCCATACATGTTTGAGCTTCAGTCAGAACCAGAATCAGACGTGGAGTCTGTTGTGCACCAAAATCAGTGATGAGCAGACGTATCACAGGAGTAAGTGTAGTTAGCATCTTTTACACTGTGGCTGACGCTGTGTTGGTATTTGTGACATGTACAATAATATCCACTATGATGAGGTTTTTGGTAGATGGTGGAAGGAAGCTTCAGGGTCCAGTTTATGTCCAACTTTACCATGTTTTCTGTCATGTGTGTTTTTATGTGCCAATGCTAAATCTCGTTGTCTGTACTGACAAGTCCGCTTTGTGCTGGAGGTTCCAGGTTTCTTTGCTGGTTCTTTGGGGTGTTAATCACCAGTTTCATCATGATACAATATTATATAGATTCTTTGGACAACGATACAATATTTGCCGATATTACAAAGTCTGCCACGATACAATTTCGATTTGATGCGATTTAGGGGCCTGCAGTCGATATGAAAGGACATCATCTGCACATTTAACACAATCAGTTACAGAAGAAGTGCCATACGTATCTTTTTTGTTTTGGGCCATTAAGGATTAAAACAACACATAAATGATGTAAATAACTGTAACTGTTTCAGTGCAGTAAAGTTTATTTTAAACTGACTCCACTAACGCACATAAAACAGCACATGGGAGAAGTTAAGCCTCAGGGCTTTCTGCCAGAAAGACCCTACTGAGAGAAATGTTTTCATTTTAACCCAAACCATCATCTGTTTCAGGTCTATCTGGTGTAAAGCCTTGACTTAAACACCTTCACATTGCATAAATTAGCCTAGCAGCTAGCAGACTTTTTTCCTCTACTGTAATAAATTGCATAATATTATTTTTCTTACTCACTGTTGGTTTAAGTCATGTCCTGAATGAAGAGCTCGGTTGAATTTCAGCTGAACATTGTTGAAACAGAGCAGCTAATGTTGCTGTAGTGAGCAGTTAGCAGGATGAGATGCCCCACCAGGCAGCTAATGTTGCGTAAACCATGTGCTCTGTTTGTTGACCTATATTTTCTCCAAAATCCCAAATATTTCCACACTGCCGATTTATTCCTTAACAAACAACGTTATCCTCATTGTCTTTCTCTGGCTGCTTGCTGTCTGCGTGCCCCTGTTTGACAGTGACACAGACTTTCAAAATAAAAGCATATCCTAAAGATGATGATATGGATCGATGTTTTCACTTTGCATTCATGACAGGTGGATCGTTGATCATTTAATCAATATATCGATTCAGATCTATGGATCGTTACACCCCTTCTGGTTCTGTGCCGAAGCCTGTTCCCCTGTATTAGTGATGTTCCAAATCTAGCTTGCTAAGTGTACTTTTGAATCTCAGATTTTAGGGAAGTACACAGACATCGCCCCCTTCAGGAGAGGAATGTGAAAACTCCTCTCTTCTGACAAACTTTGCGCAGATACAAGGCAGTATAGTCATGGTCAGACAATTTAGGAGTCGTAAGATGGAGGAGGAGTGGAGGGAGATTTAGGAATTTGCCTCAGATTTCTTGCTTTTGCTGTTTCCCATTCAAATTCAATTTTTTTGGAGGATTTAAATGAAGTTAGAGGAGCTTCTGAGAGGCAGGCAGTCACATTTCCTCCACATCAGCACCAGGCAAGATGAAAGAGTGAGGCTGTTAATAAATAATGTCATCATTGGTGGACCGCCCGAGGCAAGTCATGACTAAGATGGAGTTATAGTGGAGATTTTAACTATGCATGAGAACAAAGACAGGCCGGACCTGATGTTAGTGCCCACACACACTTGCACACATACACAAACTTAGACACAAACACGTCCCCCCTGGTCATAACAAATTTGCCATACACAAATGGGTACACACACGACGGCTAACACAGTCTCTTAATTTTCACTGCAGAGGGAAAAGTCACCTCAGGAGGGAGAGCTGCAGTGACACAGCAGCCCAGAGAGTGTTTTGTGAAAGAAATTGAGCCTTTGTGGGAATGTTTGTGCTGTTGAGTCAAATTGATTTCAAACTCTTTTCTCTGGTCGCTCTCGCCCTCTCTTCCCCCTCCCGACTCCACTTCCCCTCCCTGCTCTTTCCCCTCCTCTCTCCCTCTTTTCTGCTTTCTCACCTGCATTGCTCCCTACCAGCCGCTCCCCCTCTCCGCTGCAGGCGTCGGAGAAGGAGAAGGAAAGCCCGGTGGAGCTGACGGAGCGCTGCTTCAGGGAGCTGCTGGGACGAGCCGCCTATGGCAACATCAAGAACGCCGTCACGCCCGTGCTGATGTAAGACAGCTCCACGAACTCTTCTATTGTCTTTTTGTGATTCATTCCTTCATGTGTTTGTTGTGTTTTGACGCATAGACTAAACCTGGAGGAGAGATGCATCTTAAGGCTATGTTGCGGCATTCTTATCTGTGCACTGATTGGCATGAGGGGGTGCAACAAGGTCAGCGCAAGGTTACATAGTAGTTTCGGAGTAGATGTGAGTGCGTGGTTTGCAGATGGGATTTTGTAAATTGCATATTTTTTGTTGAGGTCTGTAATGTATTTACAGTAACAGTTGCTTCCTGGTAAGACATTGCAGATTTCTTGCCTATTCACAGCTTCATCGTGCTTTTAAGGTCATCTTCTGTGATGTCTTCATTTCACTCTGTATGTCTCCGAGCCTGTTCTTCTGTGATTAATGTTTTCTTTATAGTTGTCTGTCTGTCTATCCGTCTTATCTTTCCTCTGTCTCGGTTTTATTTGAATCAGTTCAGCCGTTCTGTTCTTCCTGGAATCTTGTTTTCATCTGTCGCAGCCGTTCCCTGGATTTCTCTGAGCCCCAGAAATTAATGCCTGTTCCTTTTCGTGTTGACTTTGCTTTTAATTCTTCGTCTTTTGTACATTCACCTTTTCTTTGCCCCTCTTGGCTTCCTTACCTGCATCTCAGCGAGTATTTATAATCCGTCCTGCTTTATATTTCACAGAAGCTGTTGGTGGTGTGAGGACACAGGCTGATCATAAGCTTTAATTTTACACTAAAAGTTAAATGAGTTCAGAGGAATACTGTAAATAGATACGTCAACCATTATGTATACCTGCATCATGGGCTTGCAGGAATACAGCTAGATAATACATCTTATAATGACACAGCCAAATTTTAGTTTGGATTCAAGCTCATATACACAGCAACATGAAAAAACAGCAAAAACACAAAAACTCCAAGCCAGTAATTATTTTATTCATTTTTTTTGTACTCCAGAAACCAGCTGCAGCTCTGTGTACCATTTTCTTGAGCATTTATATACTTAATTTATATTTATTTGGAACAGTCTTAATTTATGTGATTTTACTTTTCTCTCAATTTCCCCTCAGTTCATTTCACTTTTCATGTGCCGTGTCAGTCCAGCTCTCGTCCATCAGAGATAGGGTCAAGTCTTAGATGCAACTCTGTTGTCTTTTGAAAATTGTGTTATGAGTACAGACTGTACAAAATAATGGACATAGCCACCTTGTCATCACCCATTGTTTTTTTAGAGCTAGAAGTGACCAAATTTGGATGAGAGGGTGGAGCTGCGGAGGAGCCAGTGGTGTATCTGACTCATAGACTGTAGCCATGCCTAGCAGACAGCCCATCACTCAATGCTGCCCTTAATTATGTGTGACTTTAAGCCTTAATGAAGTTTAAATGAATGAGTTCTAAAAAAATGCATCCCCCTTACAGTTGTCCTAAAAGGGGGGAATAGCTGTAGAGACCAAAACTGTTTTTGTACCAGGGTTTAAACGTGTTTATTTCTACTGTAAAGTTGGACATTTTAACATTGGGGTCTATGGGGATTGACTCTTTTCTGGTGCCAGCCTCAAGTGGCCATTTGAGGAGCTGCAGTTTTTGGCACATCAATTTGCCGCCCTGAAATTTGCCGCTTGGTCATGATGGAGAAAAGCCAACAATCAGATATTTGTAACACAATTCTCAACATTATGATGACTGTAACAAGTTTTTTTTTTAGATTATATTTATTAAGGTGAGGATTATAACAATACAAAGTAAAGATATACATCTCTTCACATGCATCCTCTTTTTCAACTTATTCCATAACACAGAACAGAACACATTCTCCGTAAAGGTTCACAGCATCACAGTTCTCCAGGGTAATCAGGTACACTTAAGAGATAATGGCATATTGAGCACATTAACCTTCATGGATATGTGTTTCGAGACCTTAGTCCATGCTAGTCTATGCAGTCCACTCTTGAGGGCCCGGGCCTAGGACTGTGCGTTATGACGTGCTGTATCATGATATGTATCGTTACCGGGTTATGAAATGACCTATATCGTGATATGAGATTTGGTCATATTGCCCAGCCCTACCCAGGCCCCATCATTTCCAATATAGTCCAGAGAAGAGCCCCAAATGTGAAAAAACTTGAACAGCTGGTCCTTGAGCCAAAAGCTTATAACTTCTAAAGGTATAAGTTCCATAGTGCTTCGAATCCAATATGAAACCGTAGGGACAGTATCTGAAATCCACTGAAGAAGAACACATCTCCTTGCACTAAAAAGGAGCATCTTAAGCAGCTTCAGTGAAGAGGAGCCAAGGTGCGGTGCTACTGACTGTATCCCTAGAATGCAAAACATGGGATCAAGAGTCATTTTTTTTCTTAAGAATAATATCAATTTCTTTACACACTTTACCCCAGAAGTCCTTAATAAGGGGGCAGTCAAAGATACAATGGAAATACGACCCCTTCAGAAATTTTACACTTATTGCATCATTTTGAAAGCGAAGGATTAAACTTGTTGCCTTTCAGTGGGTTAATCTGGAGCCTATATATAACCTTAAATTGCAACTCCCTAGCTTTGTTGGTGAATAAGCAACCTGACGAGCATGACCAGATACTGTTGCGCTTATCAATCGCAATAGCCTCTCCAAAGTCAGCTTCCCAAGAGTTTTCTAATTTGACCCACATACTCATTATTTGGGATTGACAAGGCCCAGTAAAACCCGGTGGCAAGTTTTTTGGTGTCGAAACTGTGAATAACCTTTTCTACTGCTGAGAGGGAGGATCCGTTGGGGTGTAATTTCACAGCAAAAGAGAATGATGACTGTAACAAGTTTGTGACACCAGGCTGTACGTTCCCAATGGCTTAACCCATTGGATTATTGCACAGTGAAATTTTTTTTTTATAAAAACATCTAAAATGTTGATGCGTTTAACGCATAGAGAATCATTTTATGATGGCATGGTAGCCCTCTGAATCAGAATCGACTCGTGAGGCATCCAGAGGCTTCCGCCCTATAGTCCATCCATCACTGTCTCCGTTTCTGCTTTAGATATTTATCTCACTCTGTGCCTGTCTGTCTGTACATAGGGATTCTACAGCTCGACTGTTCAGTAGTAATGATCTTGATCTTGTTTGATGGTTGTCGTGATCCTGATCGTTATCATTGATTGGGTTTTTCTTTTTGCCTCTTACATCAACGTCTTGACGACATTCAACAGTGAAAGACAGTTTAATGACTTCGTGTCTCTGTCTTTGGTCGTGTGTCCGCACGTTTTATTACATAAGTAACTCTCCGTGCTCCATCATCATAAAAAAGAAGACACATATGGAGTCTTAATATTGGGAACTATAAATATGCTCTCTTATCTCTTGCTGCTCTCCATCACTGTGGTTACTGTATTATCACATCGTCTGTATCCTCCCCATCCCTCTCCTCCTGTCTGTGTCCCCCCAGGCACTTAGATAACCACTCTCTATGGGAGGGGAAGACCTTTGCTGTGCGTTGCTTCAAAATCATCATGTACTCCATCCAGGTGAGTGATACAGTGCCTCCATATCCACAACGATCCCTTCCTCACCCCTTTTTTCTCTCTTTGACCTCAAATGGACTCCTGAAACATTTGTGTGCTTTACAGAGTGCCATGTTTTTATCATTGTAAGTGTTTTTTTACATGATTTATGGGCACAAAGTAGAAACATGGAAATGAAATGGCTCAGAAAATGAGAGATGTTTAAAGAGTCCATTTGGGCATCAACCCTTCTCCTCATAGCTGTGATTCATTTTGGGACTAAATGAAAAATGCAAGTCAGTGATGTGCTTATTCTCTGGAGCTTTTAATTCTCTAACTGGTTGAATGACTTCCTATAATTTACCAGTTTTCTAGACTTCTGTCTCTCTCTGTTTTTCCTCCATTTTTCTTGTGTTTTACGTCCGCCAAGGAGGTCATGTGTTCGGCTTGTTTTGTCTGTTTGTCAGCAGGATTACAGAAAAACCACAGACTTGATTTTCATGAAACTTGTTGGAAGGGTGTAGCATGGGCCAAAGACGGACCCATTAAACTTTTTAGGGGATCTGAATCATGTGGCAGATACATGAATTGTTTTTTTCACTTTGCAGTAAACGACATCCATAGTCTTGGCCGAGATTGCACAAGGCTCTCACCTCGGATATCACAAGCAAACATGGAGGTGGCTGAGCCAAAATGGTGGCGGCAGTAGTGCAGTGTGAACAATGACAGCAGTGCTGATGGAGCTAACACTGTTTTGAGGGGGTTAGCTCAGGTTCTGAGTGTTATGCTTCTGCCACGAGGCTGTCCCCCCACCCTCATTAGGGCTGGTGTTATCGAAGGTGCTAATTGTGCTAACAGTGCGCACAACGGCACTGCTAGTGTCCTAAATTAACTTTCTGACTCACCGCCCATGAGGACTGGAGAAAAAAATCCACTAGCCAAGCATTTTTTTACCAGCCAAAATAATGAATTGCCCTTTTTGTATCACACATACAATTGTTTCAGTACATTTTATCCAGATAATAAGGTATTATGTTGAATACAAACTTAAAGTAGAGGTCAGAGCAAAATGTTAAGCAATGTTATTTTAATATATTTACCATCTCATTACCACAGCTTCAACATGTGAATAAGTTTCCTCTGGTAAGCAGTGACGCAGTGTGTATGCACAGGGCCTTTATCGTGAGGGGTAAGAACAGAGGGAGAGAAGCTGTGATGTGCTGCTGTTGACAGTGTAGGAGGCAATAGAGAGTTTCCCGTCTTGGTTTAGACTACAGAGCCTCTGTGTTATTATTTTATTACCGTCATAAGTATGGGGGCAACTCATAACCCTCGGCTACACATCAGCCTAACGGAAGCCAGCAACAGACTGGCGGCAAGTGATATTTCAGTGGATCAGCTGATGTCCTGTATCATGAAGAGTGCCGTTAAGCTAGGAGTGCTCGAGACGATCAGCTTGCGGCACCGTTGAGATGTGCATAAAAACAAATCTGAAGTGTGTGTGTGTGTTTGTAAGAGACTGTGAAACCCTGACTCTGATAGAAGAGGAGCAGAAAAAGAAGTGCGCCCCTAAATAACAGCAAAATGCGGTCATGACTGTTAGCATTGTTTTTTATTACATGACTATTTTGGTACAAACATCTACCTGCCAGTGTTGCAGGAAGCGCGTCCGCGGTGATAAGCTAGCCAGCGGGAACATGAATAATACTTTTCTGTTACATTTATGTTCTGAATGTTGTATATTGCACCTTCAACATTGCGAGATAGGGTACCTGGCCTTGGCCTGAGCTCTCTGAGTGCCCTTCTAGCTTCAGTGTGGTTTCATTCATTCTTTCTCCCCTTCTCTTGTAGTCGCAGCACTCTCACTTGGTAATCCAGCAGCTTCTCGGTCACCTGGATGCTAACAGCAAGAATTCAGCCACAGTGCGAGCTGGTATAGTGGAAGTTTTGCTGGAGGCAGCCGCCATTGCAGCCAGCGGCTCTGTAGGTGAGAAGACTAACACACTACATACACACACTACAAGCAATGGCCAACTAGCACATACATGCTGTGCCTGTGTGAGAGGAAATAACTCTCCATACCAGGAGGCAACAGTAGTCTGTAGTTGTCAATCAAAAAGGGAAATTGGAAGACTTAGGACTGCGGATATACAGTTGGTGTTATAATAGATACATAAAACAAAGAAGCGCTTGCCCACCATTTTCACACCGCTCTCAATCACCACCTGGTCTTCAGTGGCTTCATTCCAAATGGCCATGTTGTGAAAATATTCGTGTTTTGAAATGATCAGACGAGATGAAGATGAAAAATGGGAGAGCCTCTATTGTACGCCCTCTTGGCTGTGGTCGTTTGCCTGCTTCCCTCAATTCCGTTTCTCTTCGAAAAGCCGCTGACACGGGCTAGTGCAACTATGAGGAACACACCACAAAAACTGTGGTCACAGACACTCACCACCAGCCTGATATTGACCTTGTGTGAGGGCCTTAAGGCAACAGCTGGTATTTTGTGTGCAGGATCATGTATGTCGGGCTGAACTAGTCTTTTAATTCCTTTTTTTTTTATTGTTTACTGTTTGTGTATGCAGGCCCCACAGTGTTGGAGGTGTTTAACACCCTGCTGCGACAGCTCCGTCTGAGCGTGGACTACGAGCTGACTGGCTCCTATGACGGCAGCACCAACATTGGCACCAAGATCATCAAAGCTCATGAGGAGAGGCAGCTGCAGGAGGCTGTCATCAGGACCATCGGTGTGTCTGTGTGTGAGCGTGTGTGTGCGGGAGGTTTTGCAAGACAGGCTGGATCAGTTGTCTGTGCTGTAGGGTTAGATCTTTGTTTCTATTTTCATATTGTGCAATCCTGGTTACTCGAGTTTGCCGATAGGTGATCCGATCATCAGGGGGCAGCAGTAGTACAGGGTTATTGTCAAAGGAAAACATGACATCATGTAATTGGGGATATTATGGGTTTTACCTTGGTGTCAAAGGTATTAATAATACCTGAGGGTATTTTCCATCCTGTCTGCAAGCTTTTTATTATTACCTTTTATTACTACTAATATTGGTGTAGGAAAAAACAATCATCCCTTCAATCGTCAATATTGTGTCTGTCTTTGTGCGTGTGTGAGAGCTTTATACAAACTAGTGTTCATCTGTTAATTTTTCTCTCCTTCCACACATACCTGTCATTTTTCTGTGCTTTAAATCCTCCTGTCATCCATCTGATGCTCATCTCTCTTTTTATCTCTTTCAGGTTCATTCGCCAACACACTACCAACATACCAGAGGTCAGAGGTCATGCTCTTCATCATGGGCAAGATCCCTGTCCCTGGGATTCACCCAACTCTGCCATCCACCGGCTCTGGGTTAGTAACACGTCTTTATTCACCAACATTAGTGCGTGTATGTGTTGTTGTTTTTTTTAATGCGGGGAAATGCAGGGTCATATTTAATGTCACAAATGCGCCCGAAAATAGGGTTGGTTAACAGTAGGAAGCAAAGTCTGTCTGTCAAACTCAGTGCCGACTAATTTAGGACGATGAGCACTGCTTGGACAGAAACGGACAGTATTTGTGGCTGAGATGACAAACAGTTGCAGAAATTATTGCTGCAAAATTTAGTTTGAACAGTCATACCTGCCCAAAACTACATGCTGTATGTGTTCATATAATTATCTATATTACCATATTCCAGCCTTCAGTTAAACATACTGTATAAACACTTCTGTGTAGACCTGAATGTTGGTGAATTAAAGGGTTTTAATTTGTATCCTAATCTGTTTTTATCTCCAGGCCTGAGGGCACCAGGATGATTCAGGTTATGTTACTAAAGTCCTTGGTCCAGGTACGTGTTCAGCCTTGCAGTATTATTAAATTATAATGATTAATAAGTGTGCTTCTTTACATATCTTTAAAGCATGCCTCAGTGTGTTCCCGGTGCTTTTTTGAGGCTTTTTTTTTTTCATCATATTACGAAAGTAGTTTATATAATAGTGCTTGAAGCTGTGTTTATCACAGTGCTGTAACTGTAGACAAGGAGTAAATTAAATCCAGTCAGTCAGGGAGACACTTCACTTTTCAATAGCTGCAGTCTATCAAACTTTATCTCAGCATTCTGCCCTTTAGAAAATAATTTCCCACAAACCACGTGTGTTTTGGCAGCACTGGTATGGTCTCCGAATTCTTTTACCCTCATCATTAATTTCTCTGCACAGCTTCACATTTATCTTCCCATGAGGAGTGTTTGCACAGCAAGACCTTCTTCCCGGTGGTCTTTTTTTTTTTTGTTTTTTTGTTTTCTTAACCAAGCCCTAAATATGTGCTGAATGAAAGCAACCATCCATCTGTACAGGTTGGACTAACAGGAGCGAGACACAGTGCTCACTTTAATCCAAACCAGAAGAGTATCCCTGCTTGCCCTTGAATCGCTTTACTAATTACAGCATGTAAAAGTACATAGTTACGAGGGAAAGTAATTTTTGTGTTACCTTAAAACATCTGTTTCAGTCCTCTAGCTGTATTATTTTAGTGTCACTTTGGCACATTGTGGAACAAAACAACTGTCTCATTTTATTTATGATTCATTATGATGAGAAGTAAGTAGTGGAACAATAAAACAATAGATTTTATAGGCCTGTTTAATGTGGCCTCGCTGAAATAACTTTTTTCTCAGACATTCGGCAGTGATGTTTATCATTGTACACCAAATTAAATAAAAGTGGTAAAAGTTATTCACAAAAACATGAACAGACTGAGGTTTGTTTATTTAACATTAACAGTTATTTAAATCCTGCACACGGGCTGTAACTCATCACTATGGGCCCAATTTGTCCTCAATCTCAAGGTGGGAAAATTATGTTCATGTTTCAAATTCCCTGAACTGTGGGCCAGTGTGCAGTGACAGTAATGCTGATTGATTGAATGATTCAAGCCATTTATTGCGCCGCCGTGAGGTCAGTTGACTAGTGATGCGCTGGTTGACTGACGGGTCCTTCGGCACTCTGAATAAAGTTATTAGTAACTTAGAAATATTGAATGCAATAGTCCATCCTTTCTCCTCCTACCTCTGCGTCTATTTCTGTCTTGCAAAGACACACAAAAGATGTAGGAACTGAACGCCACTCACCTGAGCAGCGTATCACTACAGGTGATGTTAGATTATAACGCTGAAAAACTCCAGGAAAGAATTACTGCATTTGTCTGCTGTGATTGACTGACTGAAATAACTAGTCTATTTAAATTCCAGTAATTGTACTTTAAGATTAAGTTTATTTACTTTATTAATCCCCCTGAGGAGAAATTCAATGTTTTCACTCTTGCTTGTCAATTACACACAGGTCCGAAAGACACACACATGCACAAACAGGACCTATACATGCACAAAGTGGAGAGATGTCAGAGTGAGGGGGCTGCCCCTTGGTGAGGCGCCCTGAGCGGTTGGGGGGATTGGTACCTTGCTCAAGGGCACCTCGGCTGTGCCCAGGAGGTGAACTGGCCCCTCTCCAGCCACCAGTCCACGCTCCATATTTTGGTCCGGACGGGAACTCGAACAGGCAACCCTCCGGTTCCCGACCCAAGTCCCTATGGACTGAGCTACTTGCCTGTTTATTTGAAAACAAAAAAATCTAGTTAAAGCCAAAAGTACTGGATTTACAGTAACTCCCAGCGCTGCCCATCACTAAACCTAATACTGTCTTTTTACTTTATACTTGCACTTACCTATGGGCAAAATGTAGATCAACCTAACTCAGTCTAATAATCATATTCCTGCATAAAACCTCTCCCTGACAGGACTGGAACAGGTGGACCCATATACTACTTAACTTTAGAATTACCTGCAATGCTTGAATAAGAGTCTTAAATTTGGTTAAAAAGGATCTTAAAAAAAGGTCTTAAAGCAGTAAATTTCTGTGTCCGATACCTGTAGACATCCAGCTTTGCTGACAGCTATGTTTATATACTGCTGAGCCCTCTGAATATGTGTAGAAACTATTTGTAGCTTGAATGCTATAAAGACCAAAAGCGCAACCCCACTGTTTTCAAAATGCCTTGTGATCATCAATCTCTCAGGTGACGGCAGGTTTCCAGACCACCAACATGCTGACGGCACTGCCCAGCTCTTTCCTGGAGCCGCTGCTGTCCTTCGCTCTAACAGAAGATCCAGAAGTGCGTCTGCTGGTGCTCCAGATTCTCCTCAGTCTCATCGACAGGCACGACAACAGGCCTAAGTTCGCCAACATAAGGTGTGTGGGGGTGGCTGCAGGAAAACGTATACTGTGGGGTTTTAATTATAGTGTGCTGGAGCTTTGCTTAGCTGCACCTCAGTGACAGCTTGTGTTTATCATTGTCCCCTGTCTGTATGCAGCATCATCTCCGACATCTCTGTGCTCAAACTCAAAGTGGACAAGTGTTCCAGACAGGACAACTTATTCATGAAGAAGGTACAAAACCCGTCCTCCATTTATAGTGAAGTTGTGTATCACTGGAATTCAATACTCAAGTCAATGTAGGTCCAGATGAATCTGTTTTTGCTACAGTCCGATCTGTTTCTCTCATTTTGAAAAATCAGGGACAGGGACACAATTGTCCATGGTCCACGTTTCACTGGTCCATCCCCCGTGTTGGACTACCCCTTTATATTCAGTTAATTAATTAATGTGAAGTTAATTTATAAGTTAAGAAACCTCTGTGTTCTTGAAGTGTTCTTGTAGTTGATGCAGTAAAATCCAGAAACTTTTTTCCCCATTTTCCCTTTTCACCTGCCTCTCAAAAATCAAGGTCTGATTTGGAGAATCATTACACGCCTTCTCCTCATGCACATAAAGCCCACAGTTCAGACTAAATATTTGTAACAGAACTAAACAGTTTGAGATTGTTGAAGAGAAAACTCACAGCGGTGTGAACTGGTCCGTCTGAGCTCAACGCAGGCCAGCTGATCCGTCGAGCCTGTCTCATTTCTGTTGACACGTTTGTTGGTCCTCATCCTCAAAGTGTGTCAGTGTTGGATGGATGGTAGGTCGCCCATAGTCATTAACTTATTTATCGGCGCAGGTAATTTTATTATCGTGGCATATTTATTATGAATACAGTCCATCTTAAGATCAGATAGTTTTGCATATGTTTCATCACTACTAGAAATTTAACTGTAGCAAGTATCTTCCTGTTACTGGGCCTCATTCACCAATATCTCCCATAGTTTTGTCTTAAATTTGTTATTAATTAAAGTCCTAAGAAAAGTCTACGTCAGATTCAAGCAGTGCTCTTAAACCGCAGAATTGTTTGCACCTGTGCTCTTACAGTAATGAATCCCATTGTCCTCGTAAGCTAAAGGCGCGTGCAAGTTGATTCTAATTAATGTAGGTAAATGCCCCGTAAATCCCCATGAAAGGGCATGAGACTGCAGGGCGGTGTGCACACACAGAAACTGAAGAAGAAGATGAAGTCGAGAGAATTAAGTCAAGAATGCCCAACCGAGAATCCGAAGAGGGTTGAGCACCGAACTCCAAACATAGAGCATGATGAATGCCAACAGGTTGTCATATTTAGTAGCATCATGAGTGGATATAAATCTGTTTTTGTGGAGACGATACGCTGTCTCGTCATCTAGTCACATTGGTGTAAACTTGTAGGTTTTCAGACCATTGCAGAGCAGCGCATTGCAAGTTAGGTGCAAGTTTCAATGTCGTGTCGTTGCAAATCTCTGGTCTGAACTGGGCTTGACGAAACAAAATGTCCAATATGTTTCTAAACTTAAATCTTATACATTTTTCAGATTGAACTGTAGAATAACTAGCGCACTTAAACTCTAAGAGTAACCTCTCCTTCTTGTCCGTCTCACAGCATGGCCAGCAGCTGTACCGACACATCTACCTGAGCTGTAAGGAGCAGAGCAGCGGGTCGCAGCACTACGAGTCCCTTTTCAGTCTCTTGGGGCTCCTCAGCGTGGAGCTGGCTAACGAAGAGGTGGTGGTTGACCTCATTCGCCTAGCACTTGCCCTACAGGTACTAATGCACGTGCATTCAATCAGCTAATATGTTATAATTGCTAGTTTGCTTCTTCAGGAAATAATTAGTGAGGACAAGTCAGGAAATAATTGTGGCATTTGCTGTTATTCCCAGACAGTCATGGGTGACATAATGTTCCAATTAATTTTATTTTTACAGCACTTACATAAACACAAAGCAGTCTACAGTGCTATAATTTCAACAGAAGTATCTAGAAATAATAACATAAAACAAGAAACACTTTTTTTTTTTTAAAGATTAGTGGTTTAACGAACAATAAATAAAACACATTAACTCTAATATTTAACACAAGAATAAGAGATGGGAATAGTCTAAAATCCATAAAACAAAGTCTGAGTGCATTTTAAGAGGGTAATTTATTGTGTGTTTTACAGTCCAGGAGTCCTTCTTCATCTCTCTTTGTTTCTGTGCAGGACCTGGCTCTGTCGACAGACGAGGCTCTGCCCGTTTATAACCGCTGTGCTGTTCATGCCCTCGCCGCCGCCTACCTCAACCTCATCTGCCAGCTCACCACCGTCCCAGCCTTCTGCCAGCACATACACGAGGTCACACTAGGCTTCTTTGTGTGTCTGTGTCTGTGTCTGTGTGTGTGTGAATACCAAGAACCTCTTTTAAATAAACTTCCTTCTTCCTCTGCCCTGCAGGTAATTGAGGTCAGACAGAAAGAAAGTCCCTACCTACTGCCTGAGGACGTCTTCGTTGATAATCCCAAGTATGTAGCAGACATATTCAAACCATACAACATTAAATTTGATATTTAAAAATGCAATAATAGCAGTACATTTTAACTGTTTACTGTATAAAATTAAATGAAACTCCCTGTTTCTTCCTAGGCTGCCTTCTTCACTGGAGAAGGTAGAAGGGGACGTTTTGTTCCTCCAGTCGAAGATCACTGAGGTCCTCGGAGGAAGTGGTTATAACACAGAAAGACTAGCCACGCCTTATGTCCCCCAGTACACTGGTAAGAAGCTCAAACACATCCGTTGTGTCACAGTGAGTGCCAAAGTCAGCTGAGACAAAGAAGGGGGAATTCTTAAAATAAGAAATGTGCTCCTCACTTCGACTAAATAACTATAAATATTGATAACGTTTATTGACTCGCCAGCGTGTTACAACTTGGTGTCGGTGCTTTATTGATTCCTGTATGGAAATGCAGAGCTGAACTACTTCCCTGGAGCCGGCGGGGATTTAGTGTTTCATCGAAGGACACTTCATCAGGGCAGACCTTTTTTAAGCTCTGGGGCTTGAGCCAGGATCTTTGAGTTGAAGGAAAAGTCCTCTCTAACTTAGTAATTGGCAGCCTTTTGGGTGCCATTTCAGTTCAGATTTTCTAAGTTTTTAAATATTCAATAAAGGCATCTAAATTTCAGAGTAGAGCCACTGCTCCTTTGCGCCGAAAAGGTGTCAGTTGAGGTGGTTTGGGCATCTGATCAGGATGCGCCTCCCTTTAGAGGTGTTTCAGGCACATCCAACTGGTAAGAGGCCCCCCAGTAGGAGCTGGAAAGTGTTGCTGGGGAGAGGGATGTGTGGGGTGCTTTGCTTGCCCTGCTGCCCTCACGACCCGACCTCTGATAAGCGGACGAAAATGGATGGATCTAAATTTTGAATTTGACATCTTATACTTAATGAGTTTTCTGTTTAAGAAGATAAAGAGAGAAAAATGTCTGCATTCTTTCCAGATGAGGACCGTCTGTCCAAGAGGAAGAGCATTGGAGAGACCATCTCGCTGCAGGTGGAGGTGGAGTCCCGAAACAGTCCAGAGAAAGAGGAGGTAAAGCCAGAAAGCTTTAACAACAATTTCATGGTCTAAAACTGTAATATACCCCCTACTAGGAAGTTAATATAACCGTATTAGTGCTTCATACTGCTTTTTTTCTTGTTCTGTTCTGCAGAGGACACCAGCAGAGGAGATCACATTTGAAACCCTGAAAAATGCCATCGGTATGTCCACACTCTTACCAACTTTTGTGGTCTTTAATGTATCTGTTGGCAACATTCAGAGCATTTATACAGCAGCAGACAACTGTTTGCTGTGTAATGATATAGAGGAGTTATGGCACCCAGAGCAGGGAACGGATTTATACCCCCTCTGTGTGTTGTAATCCGAGCTTCTCTGTTCTTTGTTGTGGTAGCCAGTCTGGCCAGCGGCAGCAACCACATGTTTGTGGTGACAAAACACTACAGTGTTGGCCTGCGGGGCAAAAGCCACGGTAGCTTTGATAGTTGACAGATAAATGACTGCATGGGTCGCAATGTTCACAGTGTTGTTCACAGTGTGATTTTATGTAAGCCTGAGTGATATTCACCGGTTCCGTCTTATCAATCTCCCTTGACTTGTGTGTGTGGGCCGTGCGATTGTGGTGACGCTGCTTTCACCACAGACATTTACCACTGAATCTGGTCTAGCTGCCGGCTATGATAACTGTCAAATGGTGTGTAGACACTACAGGCGTACGCCAGAGTAGTATTGGAGCACACCCAGTGTTAGCTCTGTCAGTACTGTTGTTGTTGTTAGCACTGTTGTTTGCACAGCTGCCTCAGCTACCTCAATATTGCTCTAAATGTGGTTTATCCTTTAAAGTATTCATGAAATCACAAACTCATCAACACAGTCTCACCATGTGTAAAACTTTCTATTGATTTGTAATATGTCATGCTGACTCTTTACTTAAGGAGATTTTTGATTGAGCAAGATTTATAGATAATGTGTGGTAACTAAGACAGAATATTGCATCCATCAAAACAAAATTAAATGCCTATACATGTTTTCTTTTTAAATTTGTGAAACTGTATGTTATGACTAGTGTCTTGTAGGCCCATATGTGTGGCGCTCCATCCAGGGCAGGACACTCAAACAAATAAAAATCACTTTAATGTATTGATTGTCTTTCTATGCAGTTGAAACAACAACAAAAAATAACCTAACATGTTAGTTTAGTTATCTTTTGTGTCTTGAAATTATACTGCAGCAGAGTGCATTATTGAAGTGAAAATGTTGTTCGCGTCTCCCTCTAGTGGACAGCGTGGGTATGGAGGAGCAGGAGAGGGAACGAAGGAGACAAGTGGTGGAGAAGTTCCAGAAGGCGCCCTTCGAGGAGATTGCTGCCCACTGTGGTGCCAGGGTACAATAAAAATCTTTTTCGTTTATATTCATATTATTTTTTTTAAAGCTTTGTACTATTGTCTAAAGTGATGTTTTTGTCCTGTCTAGGCCACACTACTGCAGAGCAAACTAAATCAGATCTTTGAGATTACAATCAGGTAAGAGACGGCGCTTTGGAATGTTTCTAATAAAATAGTATTTAGGTTAATAGTGACATTAATGGCAGTGATACTGACAGCGTGGATGATGAAGAAGATGTTTATGATACTGACTGTCTCCTCTTTCCATTTAGACCCCCGCCCAGCCCATCTGGAACCATTTCGTCAGGTTACGGCCAAACCCAGAGTCGATCTGTACCCATCTACGAGATGAAGTTTCCCGACCTTTGTGTGTACTAGTCCTGAAAAGCGAGAACTACTCAACATCGGAGGACAGGAAAGGGATTTGGGAGGGGGCAACCGATCGTCACTGTAAAGGCATCTTGATCATGGAGTCAAACAACGGCAGGGGATGAAGAGAAAATTACTGTTGTTTGAAGCCAACTCAAGAACAAGCCACTTCTTAATTAACTTAGATCTTTCGCCCTGTGATCGCAGCCAAAACAAGCAAAAAAAAAAAAAAAAAGCTGATATAAATAAATGCAGCAGTAAAACAAACTTTCATTTTACGTATTCCAATCAGTTCTCCGTACATGTCTGTAGAAACTCCACTGGTTGGATTTTCAAATTATAAATTGCCAATAACTGTGAGGGAGAATTAAGTGTCAGACTGAAAGTCATTGGCTGTAGGATGAATTGACTCATTGCATGCCCTGTTACTGGACATTTTTTATTGCACTGCAGTTCTTAGAGATTCTGTTTGTTCCTCACAGGTTGCCATACTACCCTTGATTATAAAATTCGATCGACCAATTTTGATATTTATATTTTATTTGTTTTATTTTGTTGCTTTTATGGCCAGGTAGAGTGTATTTAAATTACATTTTAATTGACCTGTATTTTTGTGTATGTTTGATTCAAATATGGATAGATAATATATACTAATATAAATCTAATCCTTCATATCTCCCACGTTCGTCAGCTCCTGAACGTCTGTCGTCAGTGTTTAATGCTTTTTTAGTGTTGCCTTTTTAGTTTTAGCCAAAAGTGCTTTTTCTTCCTACACACGGTAAATTTTTTTGGTTTGTTTTATTTTGTTTTTATCCATGGTTTAAATGAAAGATACTTATCCTTCCAACGTGAGTGTGCCTTACAGGTGACTCAAGTTAAAAAAACACACCACGCCACAGTCATGACAACACTAAACTTCTGAGGATCTAAAGTGTTTACTGTGACGTTTACCCGATCAAACACTATAAGATTATTAGGGATCCTTTATTTTTCTCCTTTCCATATAAATGTGTATATACAGAGAAATATATAAATCTTTAAGCTGATGTACAGAGTAGGGATGTTTTTGTGTGTGTGTGTATATACTGTATATTGATTCTAATTTTAGACTGCCACTGCACTGATTGTGTTCGTAAATAAGGGAAGAACGCTTCTTAGTATTCAGATGCTTTTGTTAGACTCTCCAATAAGTAACCAGCAACACATGAAATCAAAGGATTGACAAGGGAACAGCCCATAGTAGAAATCTACATCATCCCAAGGCCAGTAGATTACACGAGTAAAGTCTGAAAGTGTCCTGCTAGAGAATTAATCAACCTGAAATAATCAACTTTGTTACTAGCAGCAGATTTTGAGACAGCCCCGAGATGGCAGAGTTGGCAGCCAGAATCAGGCCAGTTTATTTGGCCCGATTCTGGGGCGTCGTTCATTTGAGTCTCAGCCAAGTTGGGTAACTGGATGCAGCCCAATTTATTTCTTCCAGCGTGCCAAGTTTAGGCTGGTGTTGGACCAAGTTGTTTTTGGTATTGGCCCTGTGATGGCAGAGTCAGCAGCCAGAATTCTGACAGTTTATGTGGCCCGATTCTGGGGCGTCGTTCATTTGAGTCTCAGCCAAGTTGGGCGACTGGATGCAGCCAGGTTTATTTCTTCCAGTCTACTGTGTTTGGGCCGGCGGAGGACCAAGTAATTTCTGGTATTGGCCCATTGATGGTGATGTCGGAAGCTTGAATCAGGATGGTTTATTTGGCCCAATTCTAGAGCGTCATTCATCCCGAGTCTCGGCAGAGTCAGGCAACCAGATGCAGCCCAATTTATTTCTTCCACTGTGCCGAGTTTGGGCCGGTGCTGGGCCAGTTCACTTTTGGTATCAGCCCAGTGATGGCAGTATCGACAGCCAGAATTGGGACGGTTTATTTGGCCCAATTCTGGAGCGTCATTCATTTCAAGTCTTGGTGGAGTCATGCAACCAGATGCAGCCCGAGTTATTTCCTTTGGTGTGTCGAGTTCGGGCTGATGCTTGGCCAGGTCATTCCGACTACCTTGGAGGTTTTAGCACCGAAATAATGACCTGTATTGTCACCATTACATCCTCAATCCTGCTGGAATAAGTTTGCACTCTGTTTTTACGCCATACTGTTGCTGCAGACTCCAGGCAGCGCACCTGTCTCATTCAGCAAAATCTAAACAAGTCTAAAAGCCATTTTGTGTGCATGTGTGCACATACACACAGGTATCAAAACGTATAATGGCAATAATTTGCCGCTAGCCTGGCTAACACAGCCCAACTGTTGGTAGCAGATCCTTTTGTGTTTTAAAAATTGTACCTTCTGTTGTTGTGGTACTGTGATGGTCAGTTTTGTGACGTTGTAAGAGACCGACCCTCCTGCTCCCATGCTTCTGTGAATTAACTGCATCGGGCGTGAAATGTGTTGCAGCCATCTTGTTTGATATAAACAACAAAGTGTCTGGTTTGTCCCCGATCGTCATGTGTTGCAGTCCAGTTGGTTGTTTTATTTTTACAACGTAGCGTCCTCTGTGTGTGTATTCATGTCCACACGTGCCAGTGTGTCATCTGTTCATGTTTACCCTTTTCTGTCAGTGCAGGTGAGTGTGAGCGAGTGTGTCCATATGACCCTCCATGCAGACGTGTGTCTTTTATCGTCATTACTCAAGACCAAACTCTTCAAACACAGTTTACAGTCTTTGTCCAGTGACTCTTTCCACCATGTTAACGAAGAACAAGCTATCTTAGAGCAATGTGCAGCTGTCTAAACCTTCCAGTGACACCGTGTAAAACTGTCTTTTCAGCATCTTGCAACTCTGCAGTGAAGACCTGTAAATCTACCAGTGTGCTTGTTGTCATTGCATAGCGTAATGTAATATTAACAGACGGTAATCCGATCTTACTTTTGTCATTTACTTGGTTGGTTAATAGATCTGTTTACAATGTAGTGCTGTAGGTCAAATCTATTCATTCTGTGAACTTTGCACTTTAAAAACTGGATTACCTAGTGACAAAGGCAGCTTTTACATGGAGAAAATGCCTTATGAGTGTCATACCTGACTTTGCATGCTAGTGATGTTGCCGTGTTGTACAATAAATTTGTCTGTAACCAGAAAATGTCTGATCTGTTTGTGATTTATTTTGTTACAGATGATGAAACCCTGATAAACAAGAATGTTGATGTGATGTTAATGTGATTTTATGTGATCTGCCTGAGAGACAGAACGCTGCGGTGCGTCATCATGCATCACCATGCAGCATATGAAAATAATCTGACTCGAGACACGATATTAAGTTTCTTCAGCTGTGCTTGTAGTGTTATTCTTTTACTTGCCTGTAATGTTCTGTTTCTGGTTTCTGTTACACAACTTGTAGCAGTGCTTGTACTATGTGTTTGCCATTCCCATGCCTGTTATCTGACTGGATGGTTTATCAGAATTAAATTCAGCATGTATATTTTAATGGTGTCTTTTCTCCTACTGTTATAGCCTTAGAATCATTAGAATCATATCCAAAAACTCTGCTTCACAAGATTGACCTTTGTCATAAGATTATTTGGTATTTAATTAACAAAATATCCTAAAAATAGACAGTAATTGGGAACAGTGGTAGGAAAACATGTTTTAAAACATTCAGTCATGATTTTGGTACAGACATTCACGGTACCCAGAAGACTGATTGATCTAGAGACATTATCTGTTCAAACAATTTCAATACTTTAGTTCATAAATAGTAGTAACAACATACATATTTGTACTGAACCATGCGGTATGAGGCTTTTGGTTCGGTATGCCTTATGAACCAAACGATATGTTGAGCTATTTACTTTTTTTAAAAGGTATTTTTTCAGGCATTTTTAAGCCTTTAATCGGTGGGGCAGTTGGGCGTGGGGGGGGTCGGTCATGGGCTGGGGTAGAGCCCGGGCCGCTGCGGCAGCAGCCTTGTGCATGGGGCGCCTGCTCTACCACTAAGCCACGGACGCCCCAAGCTATTACTTTTGAAAAATTAAATAAACAGCTTAAACTGTGTGATATATAATGTTCTCAGTGCCACATCGCTCAAAGAGGTAGCCCAGACAGGGAACACGCAACCAAAACATTTTACTTTACTGAGCCACACCAGGAGAAGCTCTAAGGCCTCTGGTTTAGCAGCTGATAGCAGCTAACATTAGCATACATCCACAGCAGTGAGCAGTAACTGCTAGCGGTCTGATTCTGCCAGATAGACTTAAACGTATGAAAGTGATGGTGATAGTTGCTAGATGATAACTGATGCAGAAATTTAACACTCCGTTTCTCTGACCAACAGGGCTCTTATTTTAGTGTACAACATCAGACTGAATTTACGAACGCGCCATGTCAGGTCACTCACTCTCCGGGACTGTAAGTGTTACCTGAAAAAGTAAACACTGACCAACGGGACCAGACTGGCCGACAGTATACTCTCACTCAGTGGATGGATGATTCAACAAGATTGCTGAAGGCTTCGTCGGTTACTGTGCCAATCTTGGGACTACACTTGTAACAGAGTTATAAATGCACTTTATTATTATTTCCAAATTGTGTTTCTGTCATTTAATTGAATCATTTTTGAATGTTTGTAAATTTTTTTAAATTTTTTAAACTTTTTTTGTTTGTTTTTTTTTTAGTTATTTTTATCTTTTAGTCATTTTATCTTTTTTTTTTTTTCTTTGGAAACTGTCTCCCTGCACTTCCGTACCTCCTGGGCTTCCGTAGCCCCTCCTCTCCATCCCTCCCTCACAGTGCTGGTTCGCATTGCTGACGGTAAGTTGTGTGGTGATTGCTGCTGCTGTATTACGTAGTTTTCTTTTAGCCATTTAGGTTATAAACTTCGATTAGTATTGTTGACTGATGAATACTGTTACACTTTTAAATCATTTTAGCGCTGTTTTTACCGCTTATTTAAGTTTTATAGATGTTTTTGATCTATACCACTATACTTATTTTGGCGCGATTTACTTTATGACAGTCGCTCCATGTCACGTGACCAAAGCAGCAGCTTGAAATTCCTCATTTAGACATAATTATTTTGCATGTTTAGGGGCAGAAGTGCAGATTGGAGAGTCAAGACGGCTTTGAAAATGTTTTATGTCCTCTGCAGGTATGTGTTTTCCTTTGCTAAATTATAAATGTTGATTCTGTTAAGCCACTCCACCCCACACAACGTTGTATTTCAAGCACAAGGTGGCATTGTTTTCCTTTTTGAATGTAGGTTTTAATCATTCTTGGGATATTTACCATGGAAATATGCTGTTTGTTAAATGTTTTCTAGTAAAATTTAATAGCTCGTGACAGAGTAAGGTGTCAAATGATTTGAAAATGTAATGTAATGTTAAGATAACGTATTCATGCATTTTGAGAAAAAAATGTAAATCACACAGTGCCATTTCACATTGGTGAGGGGGCAAAAGTGCAGATGGGAGAGTCCAGAAGGCTTTAAAAATGTTTTATGTAGGGGCGTCGGTGGCTTAGTGGTAGAGCAGGCGCCCCATGTACAAGGCTGTTGCCGCAGCGGCCCGGGTTCAAGTCTAACCTGTGACCTTTGCTGCATGTCTCTCCCTCTCTCTCTCCCCCCTTCACGCTTCACTGTCCTGTCAATTAAAGGCAAAAAAATGCCCTAAAAAATATCTTTAAAAAAATGTTTTATGTCTTCTGCAGGAGCCAGTAAATGCCAGAAAACTGTCAGTGAGTTGTCTTCTGTTATGCCTATCCATAACACCTGTAACACTTGAACGATTTCCTGTAGTTTGTTTTGCTTTCTAAGCTAACGTTAACTAATGCACTAAAAAGTTAGTGTTACAGAGAAATCCAGTATTCCTCTTAATACATAATGCCATTAATACACATAACGTTATTCATCCCTACAACAGTAAACACTTTTTCTCTAACCTGATATGAAGTGTGCACTTCACGTGAGCATTTTTGATGATCGCCTCTGTCCAGTCCTTTCGTCTTAATGCATTTAACCAAAGCTGCCTTTGTTTTTGTTGACGAACAGTGGTGGCTGGTATGTGATAAAATTTAAGTTTGAAGCCATGACTGCTTCTAGTCTGGCTCCCAGTCACACTACAAGATGTCATTTGAGGACGCCTATGTAGCCTACAGCCCTGTTGTGGCGAGCCGTGTTTTGCCAGCTGACAAACTGACGTCATTGTGACATTGGCCTGGGTCTGGATCTATTGAAATCATACTGAACAGTGACACCATTGTATTGTATTGAATCGTACCAGGAATTTACACCACAATTTATGAACTAAAACCAACAAAACTTATGACATTGCCTACAGCCTCAACTGTAATTTTTGGTTGCTATTCAACAATGTGCACCAGTGAGACGCTACCTTTGCTTTGGACTTTTGTTAGATGCTATCTTACTTCAAAGGAAGCATGACAACTCAACAGCCAAGGTTTTAACCCTCTGGTCCCCGTTATAAAAAAATCACACCTGTCCCCTTTGGGACGTTTTTCGTCCTTGTTGAAAAACAACCATAAAAATATTAAATATTAATATTTTTTTCTACTTTTTTTTTTTGCTTAAATCTTTAAACCAACTCCTACTCAGATTATACATATCAAATATTCATTCATTTTGAGGATTTTTAACCCTTTATATGCCATTTTCTTTACATGAAGTTACTGTTACTTTTATTTAATTTAAATAAACACAAGAAGTTTGTGCTCTAGAGAAAGGATCAGCACTCAGTGAAAAACCTCCTAAGCCCTAGGATAAGCTATTATGGCAAGGCTTAACTATACAGACCAGTGAGCAGTGATAACTAACATGTCTTTGGGGTCATCAGGTGGGAACCTCCTTTCACCGGTGTTTCGTCTAGTTGGTCCCACGACACCTCCAGGAGGCTAGACAGTGATCTCCGGCGTCCCAGAGACACTCCCCTAATGCCAGGTCTTACTGCTCCCCGCACCAACCCAGTAACCTCCTTTACCTTACTTACGCATGGCTTTCTCAGCCCAAACAGCACTGCCACCTTCAACCAAACCCAGATTCCGTACATGCAAGCTCCAGGTAGAAACAGTGCTGATACTACCTTTCCTAGCACATTCACCATACTCTCTCTCACATGCTACATAGCATAACTCCAATATAAGCTAAAGTTAAAGGAGATAGAGAAGATAAACTCACAGGGTCAGCAAACACACTCACCTTGCAGCATGGTCTCAAACAAAATGGACTCAAATAGGCCACTCCCACACTTAAATAAAACTTCCTCTTCCTGGATTTCATCCTGAGAGGAAGTGGATCTCTCCACCTGATCTCAAGGAGTTATGAACTCTGCTTAGTAGTTCCCCCTGCTGGCCCCCAACTGACATTATTTCTTCTCACCCAGATCCATTGGCTTGCTCTACTTGCTTCATCTGACATTTCCTTCACTGTCTTCCTCAAACTCTGTCCCCGCACTCCAAGTTCCCCCAGGAGTGAGACAGCTGATCTTGCTATGAATCCCCTACACCCCACTTCCACTGGACAAATCCTAGTTTTCCAGTCTGCATATCTAAGCTTTTTTCTTTCATAGGCTTCTTCCACTGAGTCTTCCCAAGGAACTGTCAGCTCAATGAAATAAACTTCTTCTGTATCCCTTCTGTATTTCTCCCCCTCACGGACAAACTGAATTACTAAGCTCCTATCCTTAATACTTTCTGAATTCACCTGTCTTCATTTCCCTTCGATGCCTGCAGCTAAACATTTCAGCACCTGATTATGTCGCCATGTATATCGGCCTTGTGACAAGCTAACTTTACATCCTGACAAAATATGCCTTAAGGTTGCAGTACCTGAACACAATGGGCATGATGGGTCCCCATTTACCCACAGTTTTAGGTTCTGGGGGGTTGGTAACACATCGTATGTAGCCCCTACCAGGAATCTAATATGATTCTCCTCCATACGCCACAGGTCCCTCCAACTAAGCTTCCTCTTCTCTACACTTTCCCAATTCAACCACTGTCCCTGTTTAGCCTGGGCCACTACCTTGGCACCCCTTAATATCTCCTCCTGTCTACGTATCTGTTCCACGACCAGCTTGCCTGAGCCAAGCCCCAGGCCTCCCCAGCCAAATTGAACATTACCTACAATCTCTGCATGCCTAAGAGCTGCCTCTGCCTCCTGAACTGCCGATCTTGGGTTCCACTTCTTTGCCTTGGTTGGATTTGGAGCCACACTCCTAACTACCACGTCCTTACTCCCAGATAACAACAGCTCTGTCCTGACCTTGGTACATTTAAATTCCTCTGTTAAACTACAGACTGGCAGCTGAAGTATCCCTTTTCCATACAATGCAACACTACTTAGTCACCTAGGAGCCCCCAACCACTTCCTAATATAGGAGCTAACCGACCTTTCAATTCTCTCCACAATGGATATTGGGATTTCATAAATTGACAATGGCCACATTAACCTAGGATATAGCCCAAATTGCAAACACCACAACTTCAACTTTCCTGGAAGTTCTGATTTATCTATTCTATCCAATCCTTCTGCCACATCTTTTCTAAATTTCACCACCTGTTCCTCATCATTCAGATCTACATTGTACCACCTACCTAAGCTCTTTACTGACTTTTCCCTAATTGTTGGGATTTCCTCATCATCTATGACAAACTCCCTATCACTTAACTTCCCTCTACGTATTGAGATGCTTCTAGACTTACTAGGCTTGATCTTCATGCTGGCCCACTTGAGGTTCTTATTTACCTTCTCTAGTAGCCTCTTTGTACATGGCATTGTGGTGGTCACCAGTGTCATGTCATCCATGTAAGCCCTAACTGGTGGAAGATGCAACCCGTTCTGCCGTTTCTCCCCACCTACCACCCACTTAGAAGCCCTGATGATTACTTCCATCGGAATGTAATGGAGAAATTGTACACCCTGCCATGATGCCTATTTCTAGCCTCTGCCAACCTGTTGTGAAACCTGCCGTACTTAGACACAACCTAATATCCTGAAAATATGCCTTCACTACGTTAACAACTACCTGTGGCACTTTGAAGTAGTCAAACGCACTCCAAATGAGGCTATGCGGTACTGAACCAAATGCATTTGCAAGATCTAAAAATATTACATGCAGGTCCCTTTTCTTAATCTTCGCTGCCTGAATCTGGTGCCAGATCATGCTAGTATGCTCTAAACACCCTGCAAAAACTGGTATTCCTGCCTTCTGCACCATGGTATCTATTAAGCTATTCATTTCTAAGTAGCTAGCTAATCTCTGCACTACTACACTAAAGAAAATCTTCCCTTCTACATTCAAGAGAGAAATCATCCGGCTAAGGTCCACAGACTCCTTCTCCTTAGGAATGAGGACACCCCCTGCCCTACGCCATGCTCTTGGGTTAATTTATTTCTCCCAAACTATTCTTAGCTGTTTCCACAAAAATTTAAGGATATCAGGTGCACTTTTATAAACCTGGTAGGGGACTCCATTAGGCCCTGGGGCCGAAGAAGCCTTTGCACGCTTGACGACCTCCTGAACTTCCTTCCACCTAGGTGGCCTGACATCCATCTCATGATCTATCCCTCCTAATGGAGGCATATCTGGTGGGAAACCAACTATCCCATTCTTCTCTAAATCTGAATATGTATTTCTCAAATATTCTTCAACCTCTAGCCTTTCTGCTTTGAGCTGCCCTCCCTTTTCCTGGCTGAACAACCCTTTAACAAACTTAAAAGGGTCCCTGAAAAAACCTGTCCTTACACGTTACTTCTTCCTCCTCTTTTTCCTGAGATGCTCTGCCCTTCTAAGAACTGCTAGCCTGCTTCTCAACTCCTCTTGCAACACATTAATTCCCTCCCTTTCTTCTTCTGTAGCCTTTTTCCACTGCTTTCTTAACTGTCTCCTTTCCATAACTAACTTCTCTATTTCTCTTTGCCGCCTAGACTTACCTGACTGTACCCTCTCACTCCTCTTTCTCTCATGCACCCCGAACCTCTCTGCACCATATGAGTAAATTATACCTCCCATCTTTTCTAAACTTTCGATTGCATTTCCCCTACGCCTGCTTAAGATTACTGACAAATCTCTATTAACTATCTCCCATTCTTTACTGTCATTTGCCCTAGGCCATCTAACTCTAACCTTTTGCTCCATGGTTCTCTCTCTGACTGGCATACTGACCTCAGTGTCACCTGCATCCTCTCTTACTACCCCCTTTTCCTCCTCCTCAGTGGCAATGTTACTGATATCCTATGAACTGTGGTTTTCTACCTGCCGCTGGACTTCATCCAACTGACTCGACTGACTTCTTAGGAAGTACTGATCAATGCGGCTACACTGCCCTTTCTTTGCCACACACTTCGTCTTTCCCTGATGAGTTCTGAGGCCTTTTATTGATGTTACTTTCTGCCAGCTGCAAAGACAAACCTGAAGCATCTTGTTCTCGACTGTGCTACTTTTATCCTCTACAGATGCGCTCGCCTTGCCCTGAGTGCTGCTAATTCTAGCCCTGGTGGATAGGTCCGTGCCCCTATCCTTCACTTAGTCACAGATCCAATGCATAGTCGTGTCCGTTCAAATGTCTGTTACCATGTAATCCACCTGTGAGTCATTTTCCACCCCAGCTCTCGCAGACTCTTGGGGTATTTTCCCTATGTTGGCTGTAGCTAATTTTGGTTGTAGTAAGGCTGCTAGGCCTCACCACTGCTACCATGGGTTGCTAGCCCATGCCAGCACCTTTGGGGTCTTTTCCCTTACACACATGCACACGCACACACACACAGACACAGACACACAATATTTTTTTAGTATCTCTACAGCCACAGCCTCCAGACATCCATATCAACACTAACCTAGCATTTATTTATTTATTTTTATTTTTTTTTTGCAACAATGGCTCGCAAACCTCAATAATGAAAAAATAGGAGAAAAATACAGGCAGTTTTACTGCTTATTATTTAGTGTGTGTTTGCTCTGCTGGGGAAGCAGGAGAAAATGTATGATTCGCCGGATTTTAGTAAAAACTTCCATTTTGATCCCCAAACTCTGGAATGCATGACTAATATCATCAAATTCATGTTTCTAAGTTGCCATGAGGATGTGATGAACAATGAGGATGTGATGAACAAATACGGAATTTATGGTTTTACATTGAGCTATATTGTGAAGACCCCTCCATTCCGCTAGATGCTAATTGTTACAGGTGCTTAAGCGAGGGTCATTGGCTTGATGACCTACACCTGGGTCCAATGTGCTTTGCCAGTAATACCATTCACCTGCTGCTGTCATCTCCTCTTCCCTCGTGGGCACAGCTGTTTTTCTTTTAGTTTACTGCAGACAGTTTCACATACCCATAGACACATACATGGCTGATAACTTTTATGTTTGTTCTCATTTATTGTTTTTTTTTTTTTTTTTTGAATGAATATGCTTTTACACTTTTTTTTAAGATTTATTTTTGGGCATTTTACCTTTAATGGATAGGACAGCTTTGGGGGAGAGAGATGGGAGATGACTTGCAGCAAAGGCTGCAGGATGGAATCAAACCAGGGCTGCTGCAGCAAGGACGGAGCTTTTGTACATGGGGCGCCTGCTGTGACCACTAAGCCACCGACAGCCCATGCTTTTACACTTTTGTATACATATCTGGTCACCCATCCTTGTTGCTGCCCATCTTTGTATCCTACATGCTCGGCACATGGGATGTTTCAGTTGGTTGCAATCTGGAACCTCACCACTTGATGCCACTAAATCCTACACACTAGACTATAAATGAAATCAGTCGATTGCCGGTATAGTTTGCGGCAAACAAAATGATCTTTAATATCAATATAATTTACAAAAAGATACCACTCTGTAAATAAACTGGATCGATTTTACAATACTTAAACTCACACCCACCTCTCGCCCTGGGTCGGCATTCTGTGTTCATCACAACATTCATTGGTGGGAGACATCATCAGTAATGATGTTTCCCACAAGAAGAAATAACACTTAAAAGTAACCTTTCAATTCAGACCGCAAAGGTCAAGGCAGTCTGTGGTTGCATCATTGTTTTTATTCAACATAAAAATGCCTTGTTTCTTATCTTAAGGCTGTAATGAGTCACACCATTGGCCCAGGAAAGACATTCAGCAACATGCTAATGATAGTAACAAGTTTCAGTAATTTAAAATTAAGACCTGCGAGTAATAACATGCAATGGCTATGAGATTCTTTTCATGACCTGGCCCTCCCCCTCTCCTCCATCTTCCATTCAGCCCATTATCCTCTGCACATCCTTGACTATAATGTTAATGAAGAGCTGGACAGTTGCCCTTGAGGTTTCGCCTTCCACGGCTTCAGAAATCTACCATTACGTTTCGAGGCAGGTGGGCTCCCCCATCTGAAGTGACTCATCCGATAGGTTGCATCTTTTCTCCCCTGAGTGCTCAAAGGGACATGTGACTTAGAGCTGCCCCTCGCTCTCTGCGATCCTTGTTTTTTACTTCCTCCATTTGGCTCCCCCTTTACTTCTTCCTCGTAACTGCTCAGCTGTCTGCGAGTCAGAGGGAGGAAACTGCCCTCAGATGAGCCTCCACCCTCCAGAGAAGAGGCAAAAACCTTTACAGGTCTGCGTTTACGGCCAGAGGGTTTGCCCCAGCGGAAATGTTCCATAGAATAGGAGCGTCGCAGGTCGCTGTGGGCTTTCAAATCTGATTCTGGTAACTTGTCTTCGGACACCAGGGTGGCCAGAATGATGTTGAGTAGGAGTTCCTCGTCATTAACCTTCAGGGCCAACGCACTGAGCTGTGGGAACTCATTCTGGATCACAGACATGCAGAGGTCGATACAGTCCTGTGTGGAGGGAATCACAGAGACCCCAGCAAACATTTTAAAATGCATTATCTGTGAGTCGTGAAGAGGTTATGATAATACACTAATGAGACTATTTTATCACTCTGATGCTGATTTATTGCAGAGTATGCTCCCATCAGCTTAAACTATGCCAAGAAAGCAATGTTTTTGATTGTAATTATGCCAATGACACTCAAATTTACATATTCGAATCACCAAATACAGCACATTCTCAGTCCGACCACGTCACATATTGACGTTTGGTCATATGCCTTCCACGTCCAGATACGACATGAAAGGTACCCGTGGTGCGTTGGTTGTTGACATTCTGGGTAGTCGCGTCAAGTGCTACCTGTTACATGCATTGTCTTCTTTCAAAGTACACTTTAGTTTTAACAGGAAATTTACTGTTTACATACAGTCTCTTTCAAAATTAACGCACTGTCAGTACAACAACGCAAATTGGCATTTTTTTCCACCAGCAACTAACACACGTGGTTGGGTTCGGTAACGAAACACGTGGTTAGGTTTAGGGTAAAAAGAACAGTTTTTGGCTTTATAATCTCACAGGACACCAACACCGCCCACCTGGGTGAAACCCATACACCACCCCTCCCACCTGACCTACTTGGACTTTGCTACCTTAACTTCTGTTCTTGTTCCGCCACGTTAGCCCCTGACGCCGCCGAGCACTGTTAAACTATAACGGCAACCAGCTGCATATCATGCTGACGTTAGAGGATGCCTTTTTTCCTCATTGTCTGACACTGCAAGTTACTGCCCAAGTGCCAGGTTTTGACGATTCTGGAGTGAGACCGGGTTGCCAAATAAGTACGGTCCCATAGACTCGCCGAAAATGTGCTTTGAGAATATCAGTGTGGAAAAATTGAAATAAAAGATTTTTGTTGCTGCAATAACAGTTACTTTCCTCATGGATTATCAGCCTCATTCTGTTCTCGATTAAATTTTGGTCCATACATTTTTGGATAACAGTAAAAAATGCTGATAAAAATACTCCAGACCCAATGAAAACATCTTCTAATAATTTTGGCCAACTAACAGTCCAAAACCCAAATATATTAGGTTTACTCTCACATTAGACAAAAGGATAAAGGGTAGAAGTAACAAAAATGGAGGTGATGACAATGCATGTGATTTGAAAAACGGAGTGATACATTTTTAAGGGATTTGATCAACTTAAGTTTGATTGAAACATCATTACAAGATGAAAACAGAGCCATGTGTCATCATTTTCCCCATCATTCATTATTCACAACACAGAATGGCCATTTATCATTTCAACAAAGTGGACTCAAGGGTAGGAGTTAAAACAAATGGATGAGGTGTTGATCATGGCCCTGCTCATCCACTTCAGCAAAAATTACTTGCTGTAAACGATTAATATCCGTGGAGTGTTGGGTTGAATGATGAATTGTAGACAATCAATCACATGATAATTTGTCACTCACTTCTACCCACCCACATTTCATCACTTCAGTTATTGATTCGTAAGCATTTTCATCATTTCTTTCCATTTTTTTATTACTCCCACCCTTGAGGCCACTTTCTTCATCATCTTCATCATCATCTTAAATCATAAACAGCAACTCTGTGCTGTGAATGAAGAATGATCAATGTAAGATGGTGGAAAAATGATGTAACATGGCTTTGATTTCAGGATATCACAACTGTTATCACAACAGTCTTCACAGTTGAGAAGCAGGGATAAAAGAATATTTGGCATTTTCGTTCCAACTTCTGAAACTGATTTTCTGTTCATTGATTAATCGACTGTTAGTTTCAGCTCTGATACTCATTTTAAATTGACTAGAAATGGTTTAGGGCCAAAACAAACCATTCATCCCACACGACACAATCAAACCAGCAGACCTTTAAAGTGGGTCATATCTGATGTGATTCTCAGATCTAACCGTGGAGATACTGCTTTTACTGCACCTTCTACACTACATGTTGAACAGATGTGGATCAAGTTTGTGATGATCTAAGACTGACTTTAGCTTTTCTTATATCAAACATATTTGTGTGTCATCAATTTTTATTAAAGCTGAGGGAGGCAGAAATCTGGAAACGATCTGGAACTGTAGAAAAACACCCCCCTGCAGCTATTGGCAAGGCGGTCTGTGCTGGAGGGGAGTGAGGTGGAGGACACACTGTGATTTGAGGTTCCAGCTAACATTAGCTACATAAGCGTGAACTTTAAGATGCAGCAGTGAGCCTTTGGGTCCAGTTGGAAGAAGGCTAAACTATTGGCAACATTTTGGATATGGTCAAACATGCGCAACCAATGTTGGCAAGGATTCACCTCCCATTCACTTTCCATTTAATGCAAGAAAAGGGGCAAATTAAACATTCACTCGCTTGTATTTGCTCGTCTTTGACCAGCCAATAGGAACGCCTTCTCTCTGAAATGTCCTTTGTTGTGGGCCAGATTTGCTAAAACCTGAAAACAGAGCAAAGAGGAAGTGTAGAAGTCTGAATTTCACTCCAGGTGAATATAGTATGCTAAAAGTCTACTGTGATTTTTGCCCAATTACACCAAAATAAAACTGCCCACCCCAGCTTTAGACTTAAAGCTGTTTTTAGATGTGCACGATACATTCTGTTTGTCCCAAAACAATCTCACCTCAAGGTCGATAGTAGCTGTGTTGAGCTGAGTTTGCTCTGTAGATGTTTAATTTTTCTGAGCCTGAGAAGGATTTCTTGTCCGTGTTGGCTTAAAAGTTAAGCATCAAAAGATTAAAGAATGAAGTGTGACGTCAATAACCCTTTTTACACAGATATAGCACTATAGGGCCGCTACCAAGTCCCTTTTTCATGCCTCCTTTACATCCATACACACAACCAAACAACTGCAGCCTCATTCTGTTCCAGTGTGTGATGATACACTGCATTAAAGCTATATGGAATCAAAAGAGGCGTGACGAGCATTACATGTAACACAACAGCTTCAGCCTCTGGTGTGACATAAAAAAATAGGCGCAGATGTGGCATTAATGTGTTAATAACAATCATTTAGAGACCCTGTGTCCTCATGTTAGGACATCACAGTTTGGGTTTACTTGTAGCCTGGTTCCAGATCATAGACCCCGCCCACTCAACTGAGTAGGCTTGCATCTCTGGTCTGGCATACTGCAATTAATTTGCAATTTATCTTGTCCAAATGATGGACGGACCAATGAACGCCGAGGGTGGGGGCGGGTCTAGCGATTAGCCAATCAGCGCCACGCTGATGTCAAGCTGTGCGCCGGTGGGTAACTGGCGAGGATAGCAACAATGGCGACCGCTACAGATCCTACAGACCACATTAACGATGCTATCGAGGTATTTCGCCACTACTCGCGTTAATGGAGGACCAAATTAAGGAAGCTGCTAAACTGGATTTAACAGTGATGCAGCTGGGCGTGCACGACAACGGAGACATTTTAAACGGGCAATGCTCGCTTGTTTTCGGCACCCCCGAGGCATGGATACTAATGACGTCAGATTCTGGGTGAGTCGTTGATCTCTACTGATTGGTTAGGGAAAAATCAAATTCCCTCCCCCTTGTAAATCACCTTCAGTGGAGGCAATGTCAGACTGAAGGTTCTGAGAGCTTCAGTCTGACTCTCAGGCTACTTTACTGTCAAGACACCTTTTCGGCGCTGTTACTACCTCCCGTGGCGGCTTTTAAACGTGAGACCACTCTGTCACTTCTTTCCACAATCGGACCTTATATACCGCGTGGCGATGCGGCATAACGGCGCAATATTCCCGGCAGTGTAAAAGGGGCTATTAATAGCTCCAGAACAACTACCTTGAGGAAGGATTATTTTATCATGTGATGTTTCCAAAGTCAAGAATGAACTTTGAAGCTCAAAACAGAACTTTTTAATGCCTTTTTAGTTTTTTTTTTAGTTTGTTTTTTGTTTTTTTTTCTGTGTCCCTTTCAAGGCTTTTTGAATCACCCTATGAAATCCTTTATAAAAATAAGGTTAGCTTTCCTGGTGATGGCAGAAACAGAGAGGAAATAAAAAGAAGACACCACTGATGGAAATGACAAGTTGACCTACCAGTATGCTTTCCTTGTCGATCAGGTTGTTGCAGACGGAGCTCTCCCAGCACACCGACCCAAACCCGGGGACACACACGTATGCCATCATCACCACTAGCAACCAACATAGATACACCATCTTCAGCCTGCCGTGGAGGACAGAAACACAAGTGAAACTGTGAGTTGAAAATAATTTAAAGTGACAGTAGGGGGGTTCCCATCAAAACACAGCGGACCCAACAGGCTCACGTTATCTCGCTAAGATAGGAAGACATCACTACATTTTGTGAACAGGTGTCTTTTCATAATTTCACTTGCGTAACACTTCCTTTCTTGCATAAGTAAGCGTGTTTCACTCGAGTCTGTGAGATAATTGGTTGATTTGTTGCTGTGTGTCACGGCTGAATTATATCTGTGAGCTAAATACTATTCATCAACATTCCTCCTCTAGCATGTATTGTAACCTATTGTAACAGATGGTCTCATTTATCAGCTGCACATGAATCTTGTTTAAAAGTGGTTGATAATGAAAGCCATGGAAAACATGCCTATGTTCCCGAAAGAGGCTTAATTAAGATTTGGAGTTTTTATCCCTAAGGCACTGAAGAATTATAAGCATGGGATATGGTACGAAATAGGATTAGAGCAGTGTGCTTGTTTTGGGACAGCGGAGCAGGGTATTATATTTTATTTGCTCCAGATTTATATTTTATTTGATCTTTATTTAACAGTATTAACTTTTAAAAAATAATAAAAAATTATAAAACAGTCATGTTACATAGTTACTCCATTATACCTCATCGTAGTGCGTGATGGTATATACAGCAGTCCTCGCAGAAGCTGATGGATGATGTCACAGCCTCTGTGTACTCATCCACTTCTTAGATGACTTTCACAACAGGTTTACAGAGCTTTAACTTCTGCCTGTATGAGGGAATCAGGTGGACGGTGTTGTGGTCAGAGTGGCCCAGTGCAGCGCGGGGGACGGTGTGATAGGCGTTGTTAACAGTTGTGTAACAGTGATCCAGGATGTTCTTCTCTCTGGTCGGACATTTTATAAACTGTTTGTATTTGGGGAGTTCATGGGTGAGGTTACCTTTGTTAAAGTCGCCAAGGACAATAACTAAGGAGTCCGCTCCACACACAGTAGCTATCTGGTCGGCGAGCGTGCGCTGTAGCCTACCTCCTGCACGTTGGCCTGCGGTGGGATGTAAACACCAACCAGAATGAATGAAGCAAACTCACGGGGGAAAAAAAAAGATTAAAAATAAAAAAAAAAAGATTCCAGATCAGGAGAGCAGTGCTGCTGGATCACTGTCATGTCATTACACCAGCCACTGTTAGTATAAAACCAGATACCGCCACCTTTAGTTCGGTGTTACGATCCGCTCTGAAGAGTTGGAAGCCTGCCAGCTGCAGCGCAGAGTCCGGTATCGATCCACACAGCCACGTCTCCGTGAAGCACAAAACTGCAGCTGTAGAAAAGTATCCGTTTTTCACCATCAGTAGCTGAAGTTCATCCAGTTTACTGGCCAGGGAACGCACGTTGGAGAGAAATATACCTGCATGGGAGTGGTGTGCGGTGTCCGCATTGGCGGAGAGACGCACAAGCGCACCGGCACATTTCCCCCTCCTCCGGTGTTTCACTGCACGAGCAAAGGTGAGGGCACCTTTGGCCAAAAAGCCCAACAAATCCACCGAAGGCTCGAGAAAAGTGGCATAAAAATCCGCTGGAGTTGTTCCCCTGACAAAAAAAACCTTACAGCATCACTGGCCCGAGCGGGCCTGTGACCTGTCAGTCAACTTGCCCAACATACTTTTTGATTGGCCCAAGTAGTCTGAGCAGTATCACGATACCACGGCAAAAATGAGGCAGATGTGTCTTTTGTCATTTATAAAAAGATAAATCACTTTTCTATAATACATCACTGATATTTCAATGGAATAAATTACTCATTGACTTATTCATACTTCAAAAACAGCATCAATAAGTGATGAACATAGGGGGGATCAAAATAAAATGAATAAATAAAATAAAAAATCAACCAGCCACCCTCCTCCCCTGACAAGTAAAGAACAGTCCCTTCATAAGTAAAGAACAGTCCCTAAAGTGCGGTGAGGTTTGTGGGCCGTTACCTGACACAAAGAGAGAAATGTGAACAGCTCATTTCTCCTCTGACACGCCACATACCTGTGTGCCGCCACGGCTCGGTTGTCCAGGTACTACTGGGCAGTTGTGACACCAATGAAAGAGGAAATTACGGGGCGTCGGTGGCTTAGTGGATAGAGCAGGCGCCCCATGTACAAGGCTGTTGCCGCAGCGGCCCGGGCTCGACTCCAGCCTGTGGCCCTTTGCTGCATGTCACTCCCCCTCTCTCTCCCCCTTTCACACTTAACTTTACTATCAATTAAATGCAAAACTGCCCAAAAAAATATCTTAAAAAAAAAAAGAAAGAGGAAATTACTGGACCTGGAGTTGGCCGTTATCTTGCGCCGCAGAGCACTATGAGCCTCCGCCGTATTCCTGTCTGTGACCCCCCTTCAACTCACAACCGCCAGGATTCGCCTTTCCTTTCTGCTGCTGGTTGAAACGTGATAATAGGGGCACCCAAGCGCCCACTCCACTAACTTGATGTGGAAATGAGCGGTAGTCTAGAAAACTGGCGAGTTTTGTTTTTTTTTGTTTTTTTTTTTGGTGGGCGCTCGTGCGCCCTCACATAGATTGCACCCTGGGCGGTCGCCCACATTGCCCATAGCAAAAACCATCCCTGGGTGTACAGGAAATCTAAAATAACTACTTGTCAACCAGACCCGCTGTCGACACTAACCTCGCGACAACTGCCACCCAGGCTACTGCAGGTGGCAGTTCTCGCGAGGCTAGTGACAGAGTTCAGTTTGGAGAGGCAGAGGAATGTTTTTTTTATTGTTTTATTATTATATTATAATACGGGAGATTTATGGGAAAATACTAATACGGGAGGACGGTGGGAAAGAGGGGTAAAATACGGTAGTTTCCTGGCCAAAACGGGAGACTTGACAGCTATGGATTGGCCCCGGGCCATCGGGCCATTGCTTATGTCGAACCCTGAAACTGCTGTCACTGTGGCAAGGACATAGCCTTTGAACATGGGGTGCCTGCTCTACTAGGTGAGCTAGTGGGTGCCCCTACACTTCACCATGAAAGGTGTACTATGCAGAATAGTCAGTTACTGTTTGTTAACATGCTCTTCAGCAAAAGTGAAAATAAACACACTCTTTTGGTGTTTTGCCTCTCTATTAGGGTTACAGTGGTATACTGGTTTCAAGGTACGCCGTGGTATGAAAAATGACGCTTTTCATCATACCGTATGTATTTGCTTATCTACAGTATTGCACATCTCCTTTCCCCCTCGACTGCCTGTCCAACTTTTTACACATGCTTCCAATAAAAAAAAAAAAGGTTTCAAGTTTCAATTGATATAAAGCATTTGTTGAACCAAAAAAAAACTCCTTTAAAGGTCACTTTAACTAATATGATAATAGTAATCTTCTAATATATCGTCAATACCGTGAAACTGTTTTCTGAGATGGTTAACAGACTGTGAAAATCTCAGTGGACCTCATTCACGAACAGTTCTTCAGATGACGTTTCTTCTTAAAACCCACTTATCAATATGTTCTCACTCCAACCTCGTCACATATTGACATTTTGGTCATGGAGTTTCCACGTCCACATACAATGTGCAAGGTTCCCTGGGTGCATTGGTTGTTGACGTTCTGGACACCGTGTCAAGTTGTGCCTGTTACATGCATTGTCTTCTTTCAAAATACACTTCTGTTTTCACAGGAAATGTACCGCTTACATACAGTCACTTTCAAAATAAACGCACTGTTAGCACAACACCACAAATTGACTAATGACAAATTGATTTTTTTCCTTCAACAACAATAAAATATGGTTGGGTTTGGAAAAAAGAGCAGGGTTTGGCTCTTGAATCTTATGGGATGCGAAAACCGCTCTCTCTGGTGAAAGTCGCCGCCTTAACATTCGTCCCTGCCATGTTAACTATAATGGCAACTGGCCGCGTATCATTGCTGACATCAAAGGACGCCTTTTGTTGTTGGTTTATGACACTGCAAGTCACTGCCCAAGCGCCAGATTTCGACGACTTCGGAGTGACACCAGGCTCCACTTATGCAGTTTTCAAGAAGGCTCAGATATCCACCAGTGTTTTCTTATTTTGGATTTGTTCTTAAGTAAGACCAGAATTAATGCAAATGCAAGAGCTGTATTCCATAATAGGATTTATATTACAATAATATTTTTTTAGAATTTTTTAAATTATTACTTTTAATACTTTACAAAAAACATTACGTTCTTTTATAATAACCACTATACGAACTCTTCAGCTCACATCACTTATAGGAAATCATGCCATCTAATAATTAATGATTGATCACGGCAGAATATATCACTGGTGGGTTTGGCGGGTGGGACAAAAAGGGATGAAGCAGCATTCCAAATAAGTTATTATATTAATAGACCCCCCCCCCACTGCTGCTACAAAATATGAAAGCTGATTTGGGATTTACTCTTTGCAGAAGTCGGCCTACCTCCACCACAAAACTGTTTATTTTTTTTTATATTTGGATTTCGGTCCTCCACCCTCTTAAGACTTTCATTTGGGCATTCTTATCTCTCAACTTTTCTTTCTCTTTTTCAGTCGCTCCGCAGTCTCATGGAGATTTGCAGGCCGTTTACCAATGTTAATTAGAATCAACTGGCATGCGCTGCCAGCTTACAAGGACAATGGGATTCATTGATAAGAACACAGGTGCGAACAATTCTGCCGTTTAGAGAACATGTTGTGAATCTGAAATAGACTTTTCTTAAGAACAAATTTGAGAAACAACTGAGGAAGATATTGGCGAATGAGGCTCAGTGTTAACAACAGTATGAACTGTGAAGCATTTTAGGGCAGTGGTTCCCAACTGGTGGGTGGCAGTCCAAAATTGGGTCGCAGGTCCATTCTGAATGGACCGCAAGTGACTACTGAACATTTCAGGTTTGTAAAAAACACACTTCATTTCGAAGTACGATGGATTTCTGGCACAAAACTTTTATTTTGAAGTGCTGTTTCCTGCTGTAGAGTGAGTGACTAACAGA